GACCCCAACAGGCCCAGTGTGATAGAAGGACAAGCTACTGGAGTTACTGAGCCTGCTTCTTCCTTGCTTTAAATTATAACTAATCTCTTCTATTCAACAAATATATATTAGACATTGTGTAGGTTGAATTGTGTTCTCCTAAAAGATGGTGGCTCAAATGGTAAAGAATCTGTGGGCAAATGCAGGAAACCCAGGTTCAATCCCTGGATTGGGAAGATCCCCTGGAGAAGGGAATGTCTATCCACTCCAGTTTTCTTGACTGGAGAATCCCATGAATAGAGGAGCCTGGTGTGCTGCAGACCATGGGGTCACAAAGAGTCAGATACGACTAGTTGACTAAAACTAAAAGATACGTAGTCCTGACCTGTGAACGTGAACTGAGTTGCAAATAGGGTCTTTGCAGTGAAGTCAAGTTAAGATGAGGGCATGCTGGAGGGGGTGGGCCCCTGATCCAATATATGTGGTGCCCTTATAAGAAGAGCAAAATGTCATGCAGACACAGATACACATGGAGAACTCCTTCTGCAGGGAGAGACAGAGACTGGAGTGACACAGTTGCAAGCCAAGGAGTACAGGGATTGACATCCACTCCTGAAAGGTAGAGAGGCAAGGAAGTATTCCATCCAGAGTCTCAGAGCGAGCATGGCTCTACTGACACCTTGACTTCAGATTTCTCACCTTTAGACTTCTAGCCTCCTGCCTGCTGGGCAGAACTGAGAAAAGAAATGTCTGTTGTCTTAAGCCACCCAGTTTGTTGTTCTTTGTTATAGCAGCCCTAGGAAGCTAACACAGGCGCCTACCGTGTGCTGGGTATTGTGCTGGGTGTGTGAGTGTGTTGAACTGGGCTGGACAGAGAAGAGGGCATGGTGGATGTGACCTGTCCTCATTCACACAGTCATTCCAAATTTCACTGAGCAGTTCCTCTGTCTGCCAGACGTTGTACTAGGGGCCAGGATGTGGCGCTAAATGAAATAGACCAAAACTCCTCTTTCAAAGGCTTTACATTCTAGTGGAGAGAGACAGGAGCATGATAATAAATAACAACAGCAAGAATAGCTAATAGGTTAAATGGTAAAAATGCAGTGGAGACAGATACAGAAGGGAAGGGGGATAGACGTATGGGAGGGGTTGTAGATTTAAGCAGGGTGGTGGAAGCCTTGAGAAGGTGTAACTTAAACTAGTACAGTGGTTCTTAACCCTGGCTACATATAGAATCACCAGGGAAGATTACAATGTAATAGAACAAAAACAATCAATAGCAGAGCCCTGTCCCAGACCGATGAAGTCAGAGTCTCTTGGGATGTGGTGGGACTTCTCCATAGAAAAGCGCCCAGAGGATTCTGATGGACACCAGGTCTGAGAACCACCAGTTTAGTGAATGAGAGCTGCAGTGGAGAAAGGAGTTCTCCAAAGCCCAGCCAGGTGCCTGTGGAGGAGACTGGTGGCAGGCCTGCCCATATCCATACGCGGCAGGCAGAGGCCCTCCTGGCTCAATGGCTGGGAGAGCTCAGGCAGCTGTGGGCTGAGGATGCAGTGAAGCAAGACCCCCTGAGCCCTGGTCCACACATGTCTGCCTCGTGCTTGTCCTCCTCCCCTCTCCTCCTGAGCCTGGTGCTGTGGGTTACCCTGCCCAGCAGCAATCCTGCCTCTTCCAGGTTGTTCAGTTGCTCAGTCGTGTCTGACTCTGCGACCCCATGGACGGCAGCACAGCAGGCTTCCCTATCCTTCACCATCTCCCGGAGCTTGCTCAAACTCACGTCCATCGAGTCCATGATGCCATTTAACCATCTCATCCTCTGTTGTCCCCTTCTCCTCCTGGCTTCAATCTTTCCCAGCATCAGGGTCTTTTCCAATGAATTGGCTCTTCACAGCAGGTGGCCAAAGTATTAGAGCTTCAGCTTTAGCATCAGTCCTTCCATTGAATATTCAGGGTTGATTTCCTTTAGGATTGACTGGTTTGATTTCCTTACTGTCCAAGGGATTCTCAAGAGTCTTCTCCAGCACCACAAGTCGAAATTATCAATTCTTTGACACTCAGCCTTCTTTATGGTCCAGCTCTCACATCTGTACATGAATACTGGAAAAACCACAGCTTTGACTATACGGACCTTTGTCGGCAAAGTGATGTCTCTGCTTTTTAATACACTGTCTAGGTTGGTCATAGCCTTTCTTCCTAGGAGCTGAGTTAGGAATTATTTTTCCTTCCCACCATGGCAGAGACTAATCAACCCCCAAAGTCAGGCTTCTGCTGTGTAGCCTGGGATCCAGTGTGGAACAGCCCATGGGCCTGATGTCTGCCAGCTTTGAAGTCAAAACACTGGTGCTTATAAAGGTGTTCCTTGACTGAGCAGTTGATCTTGACTCCAACTCCCCCTGGTTTTGATTTCTTGAAAGTTAAAGAAGAATTTCCAGGACAGCTATATAACGGTTCTTTCACATAGACTGGGAGAGACCTTTCCGTTTTCCTGGGTGGGGTGGGGCTGCCGGAGAGGCTGAGAGCCAGGGAGGTGGATGGTGGGCCGAATTGCGGTCAGCACTTACTTAAAGAGCCGGGATCATCATCAGGTGGATTTCCAGGTGCCAGGCATCAGAGCCTCATGGGGGCTCCGAGCCCCTGCCCTGCGGCTGCCCTCTGGAGCTGCTGGACTGATTCCTGGGTCCTGTGGGCTCACCCACAGTCTCGCCACTCCTCTCCCTCCTTACCTTCTCTTGCTTCCCCTTCATTTGTCTCCTCTCGGACCAGCTCCCCCAGGTCTGCCACCCTCTTTGCCTTTCCTTCTGAGCTTGTCTGCTGGTCTCCACTGGGATCAGAGTGGCCGGTGGAGCCGGGAAGCTGGGAGGCAGCACTGAACTCCAGCCCAGGGGCTGCCTTCTCACGCTCTTCTTGTGCTTGCCCGGCCCAAGCCCCAGGAGGCGCTCCCGCTTCCCACCGTGTAAACTGGTGCCAGCGTGTCCCCTTGTGATGGAGTCCTGCACTTGCCCACCCGTGGCAGCCCACACCCACCCCTCCGCCTCCCTCCACCCCATATACAGTGCCAGACCAGAGCATTATGCTTTTGCTCACTTAAGATGATGGTGGGGTCAATAGACAGTGTAACCTTTATTGGCTTAACACCTGGCCTGTGGAGCCAGGTTCCTGTGTGGCCTTGGGCCGCTGACTTGACCTCTCTGTGTGTTAGTTTTTTTACCTATAAAAGGATTCCTACCTCATAGGGTGGTGATGAGGCTTAAATGAGTTAATATATGTAAAAGGTTTAGTACAGTGTCCAACTGTTTTAAGACCTGTGTTATTATCCAGGTATGATGAGGCTGACAGATCAGGAGACAGCTGCCGTTGAAAAGAGAGTTTGTTACTCACAGGTCCTGAGAAGAGAGGGTGCACTGTGCCGTGTGGGGGGAGCACTCGGGGATACACAGGGGTCCGTCAGGAGGTAGAGTGAGGAGAAACGTGGGCAAAACCTCTGCTGTAGTTTCTGCAGGAATGAACAGGAAAGGGAGAGTCAGCAGGCTTCTGATTGTCTAGTTTTAGAATAATGTCGGCGGGCTCTGGGGCACAGGACTGTCCCATGTCACCTGGCATCTGTCCCTGGGGTGATGAGGGCAGGGGAGTGATGGCCCAGGTGTGAGGACCTGACTGGGGTGGGAGGCTCTGGACTCTTAAGGCAAGTGGTTAACCATCTCTAGCACCTGACTGGCCTGGGAGGGGCAGGCTCCCCAGGTCAGCAAGGCCCCAGATGTCAGACAGCAGAATGAAAAGACATGCTTCATGCACAAACACACAGTATCCAAATAAAATGACAAGATACGTTTAGTTCTACATTCTGGTGTGAAGTGAGACTGTCGGTCTGGAGCCTCAAGAGCTGCGTGGATCAGAGAAGAGAGCACAGGCCATGGGGAGGAGCCCCCACGCTGCCGTCCATAGCTCCTCTCAAGGGTCCACCCGCTTGTCCTGGGACGGGGACATCGGGACCTCCTTCAGTGATGCCTCGAGGGCCCCAGGCCCTGTGCGTGGCCACCAGGAAGAGCTTGGCTCACAGGAGCTACTATATTTCTGTGTCCGTTTTAAGAAAAAGCTCTCAGAGCCCTTACACGTTCTGGCCCTGGGGCCTCACCTCTGAGAGTCTGTTTTGAAAGAAAAGGAAGACATGTTGAATCTCAGGAACAGATGAAAGATCACACCACACAATACAGGGACCAGCGGGCACACCCGAGGGGCTTAGGGGTGAGACTGAAGGAGCTGGTGGGACAAGGTGGGGGGCTTCCCTAGGTGCTCACTGGCTGCATCTTCCTCTCCCTCTTCCCTTGGCCTCTTTGTTCTGTCTCTGCTAGAGCAGGGGTCCCCAACCTCTGGGCTGAGGACAAGCACCTCCTGTCAGATCATGGCAGTATTTGATTAGACATAAAGTGCGCAATAAATGCAATGTGCTTGAATCATCCCGAAACCATCCCCACTCCCCCTGGTCTGTGGAAAAATTGTCTTCCATGAAATTGGTCCCTGGTGCCAAAAAGACTGGGGCATGCTAGAGGACTCCCTTGGGGTGGAGGGCCTGGGCTGGGATTCCCTTGTGTATGGGGTTGGGAAGTGAGACATCTGTGTGGCTCCCATTAGGGCCTGAACACTTTCCAGACAAGAGGAACCAAAGACCCTCTCCTGGACCCAACTACCTTGAGGGCACTGCCCAGGAATCAGATGGGGGGCCCCAGTCCTGTTGGTGTGGCCTCAGGCAGAAGCATACGTTCCCAGGCCTCTGCCTTCCCTTTCCTCGTGGGTCAGGGGTGAGGGTGCAGGGAGATTCAGAGAGAAGCGCTGACCCGGCATTTCCCCGCCAGCTGGGAAAAACGGCCACCAGTGTCAGCTGTGTCTCTGTCCCCTCCCCAGCAGCCATTCGGAGCTCCCAGGACTCTCACCGGCCAGCGGTCCTCCTAAGGCAGAGGGTGACCCTGGCTGTGTCCCCCCAGACCTTCTTCCCTCACGGGGGTCTTCCCCCCTGTCTCCCCAGCATCCTGTTTGCTGACATCGAGGGTTTCACCAGCCTGGCATCTCAGTGCACTGCCCAGGAGCTGGTCATGACCCTCAACGAGCTCTTCGCCCGCTTCGACAAGCTGGCTGCGGTGAGTCCCCCCCATCCCCCTGCGCCCACCACTGCCCTGGGGCCCCTGTGTGCCTGAGCCAGGGCCGGAAGGGTGGCCTGATTCGGGCTGCCTGGGGTAGGGTGCTGCGGGGCGGCCACTGAAACTGGTGAGCAGGGCTGCACAGGCTGTGGCTGCGTGTTCTCACGCCCTTCGTCGTCCCCGACCACACGCTCAGAGGTGCTCCCATGGTGTCACCAGCCAGAAGGGAATGAGCCCTCCATCAGCAGATAGGAAGTGAGGTCTGCAGGGATCGTGGCCCAGACCCCTGAATTTGTGGAATTTGTGTTTGGGGGAGCAAATTCGGTGCCACACAGTCACTTTCCTGATGAAGGTAGCCAGAGTGATTAAAAAAAAAAAAAAGTCTGAATCTCTACTGGCCTGCAAACAGCTGTGTGTCACCCCTGGGACTTCCAGAAAGAGGACTCCTCCGCGTTGAGACAGATTAGAAGTGCCCCCCCCACCCCCTGCCCGGACATGGAGTGCAAAGGACACATTGTTTCATTAGTCCCTGTCTTACTCTGTGACTTTGAGTCACGCTCTGCCTTTGGAGTCCTATATCGGGGACACTGCAGTGTCCACTGGCATGTGGACATGTCCCTGGGCAGTCACAGGATGCCAGGCCAGATCACAGCTGAGAGCTGGTGCCAGGGCCTCTGAGGGCATTGACAGGGGGCCTCACACCTCCTGGATTTTACCACTGAACGTGGGCAAGGTGAACGGCAACAGGCTCGGCCCTTGGGCCTGGGAAGGGCCTTAAAGGAGAGTCCAGGGCACACAAATACTTGGGTTCCAGCATCCCAGCTTCATGAAATAACTTCTGGGATGCAGGTTTGGACAGCTCTGAATTGGTGATTAATGACGGTCCATCTCAATCCCAATTACTTATCAGTTGCAGACTGCGGGGTGACCCTGCATCTGGCGGGGGCTTCTGCTCATGGCGGTCTTGGCACATATGTGCTCACAAGCTTAGCAAAACTCCCTTGTATAAAAGATTCCAGGCTGAGGGTCAGCTGAGATTTAGTTAAATCTTGTTTCTGCTTCAGTCTTTCATAAAAGGAGAGTCACAAAACTGTTAGTAGAACCTTCAGCCAAGAGTCGGAGCATGCCCCAGGGCTGGAGTGGGATGGGGCCCTTGCTCTCAGCTTGAGGCCTCACATTGATGAGTCTGCCACCTTTGCTGCCACACTGAGCCAGTTGTATTCTCCCTGGACCTCAGCTGTGGCCATAAAAGTGAGTTCCTGAGTCTGGGGGGCTGGAGTGCTTCTCTAGGGCTGTTCAGCCTGTCCTCCGTCCCCCACGGCTCCCGATAAGCCTGTCCCAGTGCTGGGGCCTCACCTTGTGCCAGCCCTGGGTCTGTGCTCGCTGCCCTAAAAGGCAAGTTATTCCAGGCACAGGGTGAATCTGTTTGCTTCCTGTTTCTTTCCCTCCCACTTCTCTTTCCTGCTATTTTTAATTTTTAAAATTAATTTGCTTTCCAGGAGAATCACTGTTTACGTATTAAGATCCTGGGAGATTGTTATTACTGTGTCTCAGGGCTGCCTGAAGCCAGGGCTGACCACGCCCACTGCTGCGTGGAGATGGGCATGGACATGATCGAGGCCATCTCGTAAGTGCCCGTCACCAGGGTGACTGCCCGCCTGTAAGGACATGTCCACCTCCAGGGGACTGCCCGTCTGCTGTCCCACAGCCTGAGTAACTGACTCATGTTGAACTGGTGGATGCAGGGAAACAGTAGGGCAAAGCCACGTCCCAAGGACCCTGGCCACCATGGAGGGTTGATCCACACCTGCAGGGCTTCTCCTGGGCTGTCTGCAGCAGCCTGGGAAGCTCTGCACACAGGGACCTGTCCTAGGAGAAGGGAGGACTTTGCAGACTCCAGGGCAGCAGATGTGAAGCCACCCCCTAGGAGAGGGGGACTGGCTGGCAGTCGCTCTGTGCCCTGTGCTGTGGGAGGGCCTACCACTCTAGCCCCTATGTCTTCTCAGAGCCACTCAGCCAAGTAAGAAGTAACCAGTCCCATTCCTTCCCAGATGAGAAAGGTTGGGCTTACAGGGGCTAAATAGCTCCCCGGGGTAATACTGCTAGGCAGGTGGATGCAGACACAAATTTTCCATTTAAGAAAATCCATCCTTCCTGGGAACAATAGCAAACAGGATCTTTGGGCCAGTTCTTGATCACTGCTGACCACAGAAGAAGCCCCAGTCATTAAACGACATGGACAATCCAAACTTACAGTCAGTCAAGGGAGAGGATCAGAGATTGCATCCAAGATTAATAATTGTGAGTTTTAGAAGTAGCCTGGGTGGGGCAAAAGAAAAACCACAGTGGGCAAGGTCAGAGGTCAGAGTAGCTGGCCCAGGAGGTGGCTGGGTCCATCCTGTTTGGCTCGCTTCGTTTCGGTGGTGTTTTCCGAGTTCCCCTGCATGCCTGGGCTAGACACGGGGCCAGAAGCATGGAGTCTGTTGAGGGAGAGAGACCAGGACTCCCGCTGCTCTGATACCAGGCATGCGCAGTGGACCCCATCAGGTAAGAGAGGCAAACTGCAGCAGAGGGCCCAGGATTGGGCAGTTGATTCCACGGGGAGGACCAAGGGAGGCTTCATAAAGGAGGTGGCCTTGGAGTTAAGCCAAAAAGGCAGAATGAGAGACATTAACCTAAACAAGTGTCCAGAGGTCTTGTGGACGGAAGACACAGCTCCAGCAAAGGTATTGGCAGAGTTGATCCCCAGAAGAGAGAAATGCTGGGTGACCTAAGTATTCCCTGTGGTGGGTATCAGCCTCTTGGTGGTAGGATGGGGCAAGAGCTGGAGTCCACATGGTGGTCCTGCCCACCAGGCCAAGTCAGACTGCTGGCCCCACGGCTGGCTGAGTGGGCCCGTATGCAGGGAGTCAGGGAGGGTCCAGGCCCCTAAAAAGTGCAAATGTGAGCCTCCCCCCAGAGTACTGGCTCCCTCTCCTGTGCCCCAGACACACACCCAGAGCTGCAGATCTTCCATCCGACTCCCCCTCCTACAGGTGGCCCACCCATCTACTGGGGACCCCCGGGTACATGCATGGTGCATGTGGTGGGGTTGGAGCTGTCTTCCAGCATGTGGAGACCCCTGGTCCCCTGCACCTGCCCCAGCTTCCTTTCTTTCCTGGGCAGGGTCTGTGTTCTCTTTCTCCATCATCCTGCTAATGTTGAAGAAGCAGCAATGTGGATAAATCTGACAATTATATAAATGGAGTTCGGAGTGACTATAACTTTCCTGTTAACTCAAATTGGCACTAACGTACGCATTTTCAGAACACAACTTTGATGACTGAGCTGGCTCAGGTGTCCTAGCTGTGGGGGGAAGCAGTGGGGCCTGGATTCTAGTGTGAGGTGCTGCGCCACCTTGTGGGCAAGATGGGAAACAGCGCTCTCACAGTTTAGAGCCACTGAGCACCAAGGGCTCAGCCCTTGCCCTTCGGGTTGAACAGTTTCAGACTCTGGATCGGGGCTGGCCCAGAGAGAAACGACCCTTTGACCCCTGCACCTTCTCACGCATCCTGGCCCCATGGCTTCCAGCTACCCCCACTCTCTGCGCCTGGCCCTGACCCCTTCCCAGCCTTACCCCTGCTCCATCCCCAGGCTGGTCCGGGAGGTGACAGGTGTGAACGTGAACATGCGTGTGGGAATTCACAGCGGGAGAGTGCACTGCGGTGTCCTTGGCCTCCGGAAGTGGCAGTTCGATGTCTGGTCTAACGATGTCACACTGGCCAACCACATGGAGGCTGGAGGCAAGGCGGGGTGAGTGAGGGACAGCAGCTTCCTGCCTGGCCCACCCAGGTCGCTCCTGTGGGAGGGGGCCAAGATGGGCATGACCGGGTAACTGTGGGCCTGGGGGTGGCAGAATTTAAGTGGGATTCCTCTAGTAACTGAGCACTGACACCACACACGGCAATTTGTAGGGAGCATGTCCCAACCCTCACCTAAATATTTACACAGAACCTAGTGGCTTGTTTTGAGATGCAGGAGGTAGGGGAGACTTCTAGATGGGGGAGGATCCCTGGATACTTTCAGGGATGCCCAGGACATACGGAGGTGGAAGGTGAGCTGGCCTGGCACAAGGGGCAGTATGGGGACAGGTGAGGAAGGCGGGGTTGGGGGAGGTGCTAGGTTGAGGACAGGAACAGGTGGAGGGAAACACAGTACTTCCAAGGAATGCAAGTAGAGCAGATGGCCTTTTAGGAACCAGTGGGAGAAACAACATGTCTGTGCAGAGGACACTCACGCCAGGCTGGAGAATTTGGACACAATCCTGTACTCAGCAAGAGCCACCGCTGGCTTCTGCAGGTTTGTGAGACTGGAGGCCATGTTCTCCTGGCAGGCTGACATGTTACTTTATTATAATAACGTGATGCCGATGTGCTATGGTGTAGTCTCGTCGGACGCGAGCTGGGGCGGGGCCCACCAAGCCATCTTGATGACTTGGAGGGGTACAGTCCCTTGAGGGACCCAGATAGGGGTGAGCATTTGAGCCAGAGCTCTGGGATTTGAATGATGACTCAGTTGGTGGCAGTTTGGTTCTGCACAGGAGCGGGGGTTCTGAATTCACATCTACTGCCCTGCTCTCCCTGCTTGCCTCCCCACCCTAGACGCATCCACATCACCAAGGCCACACTCAACTACTTGAATGGTGACTACGAGGTGGAGCCAGGCTGTGGGGGCGAGCGCAACGCCTACCTCAAGGAGCACAGTATCGAGACCTTTCTCATCCTGCGCTGCACCCAGAAGCGGGTCCGGAGGCCAAGGGCTGGGGCGGGGTGGGGCGTGGGCAGGGGCCTGCGGTAGAGGGGGGGACAATGGAAGAGCTTCGTTCCTTGGGGGAGGAATGTTTCTTGGCCTGCTGCTTCCTTCTCTTACTCTTTCGTTGAGTCAAGTCCCGATGCAGTCGTGGTTCCTGCACCTCCAGAAAGACATGAGAGACACAGAGGCTTAGCAAAGGCTGATGGCAAACAGGAGATGTTTTCACTTTCCTTCTGTTGCAAAAATGCAACAGACCTCAGATCAGTTAGTAACAATGCAACAGAAGACGATGAGATGGACATGAAGCATCAGGGTATACAGTGTCCTTTATTTCCATCTCGTTCCTTATCTATTGCCTAACTAGGTTGAGCTTGCTCTCTCTCTCTGCCTGTACTTATATATCTCTGTTTCTTCATATTCTGTCCTTCCCCCCCTCACTTTCTAGTCTTTCTTCTTCTTTCTTTTGTCTCAGCCCACACTTGCCAAAATATAAAACAGAACTATTAGCAGACTTCAGTGTTCTATTTTTAATAGTGTCATGTTCCATGTTCTTAATTTTAAAAGCAAACGAGAGCATTCTCTATTTTACCCACTTTATATTTCTCCCTAGATTTAAATGCCTTTTACTTATAAATTTTCCAATTGAATTAATCTGTTGGTCAGAGCCCTTTGATAGAAAAAACTTCCCTGTTTCTTTCATTAGGAGTTAGACTAAAGACAAAATTAAGCTGTGAGAAAATTTCAGCGAAAGTCTTGGAGACAGCAAAAGTAGATTTTTCAAAGTGGGCAGAATTGTTTGAGGCAGGCGCCCACCCTGTGAGGGACATAAGAGGGGTGCCCCACCCTCTCTGGGCAGCCCAGCACATGGATCCTGGCTGCAGGGAGCGGGGTGTGGGGGTTGTTGAGGAGGGTCCCTGAGGGAGCTGTGTCAGGCCTGCCACAGACACCTGGGAGAGGGATGGGAGGGTGTAGGTACTTTGGGGGAAGTGCCTTGTGGTTTAGTTGACTCATTTTAAAGCATTTGCTTGTTGTTTGGCTAGAGTATAAATGAACTGAAATTCTCCCAGGCCCTCCTCCCACACCCTTCCTCTCCGCTGGGCCCACAGGCCTCCTCATCCTGCTCCCCCCCCCCCCCCCCCACCAAGATAAAGGATTACCCTCTGCCCTGGGTTCTCTGGGTCTGGTTCTTCTAGCTTGACAAGTGGTCCAGAAAAGATGAAATGGGACAACCCCCAACCCTAGCCCCAACCCAGAGCCATGTCTGCTGGAGCAGGCTATATCTCTCCCCTCTGCCTCCCTGATCTGAGCAGCTGCCTTCCCAGGCTCAGGGATGGAGAAGAAGGGAAGGCCACCCTGTTTCTCCCAGGACCTCTCCAGCCCTCCACCTCTAGCTCGTCTGGATGGATGAACAGATAGATTGTGGTTGGCACACGGAGAGCTGGCTGAGGCCCCGTCTGTGTATTTGTACAATGCATGTCAGCCCTTGAACCTCACGTTCTGATGACCCAAACCTCCTGAAGCTGCCTCTGAGCAGCAGGACCTGTTCTACTGTTCACTGTGCTAGAACAAGCCTGTTTTGGGGTAGAAATTGGAATCTCAGGTTTCTCTCCCTGCATCACTCCCAGGTACTTTCAGACCCAGGTTCTAACATTCTGTGCCAATGACAGATGTTCCCATGCCCCATGGCTTCCCAACAAGACCAACCTCATCATCCTGTCCTGCTGCTCCCACCTGAGGCTCACAGCCCCCAGCCAGCGCTGGTCTGGGGAGTCTGGAGGGACTTAGGATGATTTCCTGGGTGCACTTTAGGGCCCCAGGCTGTGCAGAGAAGGAAGAGGCCTCTGCCACAACTCCTACCTGGCCAGGCACTGGGAGAAATGAAACTTTGCATGGGCTCACCCAATGGGCCCTGTCCATGGGCTGATGCCTTTCTGTTGCTCTCCCAGAAAGAAGAGAAGGCCATGATTGCCAAGATGAACCGTCAGAGAACCAACTCCATCGGGCACAACCCGCCTCACTGGGGGGCCGAACGCCCCTTCTACAACCACCTGGGTGGCAACCAGGTGTCCAAGGAGATGAAGCGGATGGTGAGTGGCTGGCGGGGCAGTGTGTGGGCCGTACTCTCCAGGGCTGGGGCCTCCTGTGGGTGAGGGGACTGGGTCAGGCCCCTCATGTGGCCAAGGGAACCTGAGGAGCCACGGGAGGAAATGTCGGAAAGGGGTTCACCCTGACTTGGAATCAGGAGCCAGAGCACCTAACTTCCAGCCCCGGGCTTTCTATGTGGCCCCCATCTCTTGGCATGCTGGATTTGACTTTGGAGCAGAGCGGCAATGCCCGTTCTTGGCAGAGCTTGCTGGTGCAGGCTAGACCCAGGGTCCCATAGAGCCTCCAGGGGTCTCTTGGAACTGTCTGAGGAACCCTGGGGAGTTAGGTGGGCACCAGCTTTTCAGACACCTTCCAGCATCTGGTACATTTCCCAGACAGCTGAAACACATACTCTGGCTCAGTCACCCAGAAAAAATCCCACTGCTTTTTGGCAGGTGCCAGGAGATGGTCTTTTTGCCCTCAGGGCTGAGAAACACCCTGCTAATTCCAGTCTCCCTGTGAGACCATCCGGACTGGGTGTGGGCTGAGTGAGCCGAGGCTGTGGTAGGGGCGCTGCCTCCATCTCAAGAGACCCTGCCTGCCTCGGGGGACAGACACCCTCAGCCGCCCCTGCACACACCGGGACAGCTAATTCAGGAGGTGCTGCCAGGGTTCTATCAGTGAGGCTGGAAGGAAGACATCAGCGGGTGGGAAGAAGAGGGAGAGGCGTGGCAGGAAGTCGGTTTCAGCAGCAGTGTTTCCTTTCCTTTTTCCTGAGAGCTTAGCCTCTACATCTGAACACACAGGGCAGCCTGATTCCCAGGCAGGAGTTGCCCACCCTGAGAGAGGGATGGTGTGTGTGTGTGTGTCCATTTAGTTCCCACAGATTCTGATCAAGGAATGAGAGGCATGCCACCCACACGAGGACCCCCACGTTGGGATCTGTGGCTCAGACTGGGTTTAAGTTGCAGCTGCAGTGACTGCAGACTGTAAGAGTCCGGCTGAGTCGGCAGACAGATCCAGGGGCCTGACGGGGGGGACAGTCTGGGGACCAGTCATTCTGCTCCTTGCCAGCTAGCCAATAGCAAATGACGAAGTTTTAACGAAAATGCACCGAAGTAAAAAAGTAAGCTGAGTCAGAACCACCACTTTAACTTTCGACAGTAAAGAGGCACCTTGCAGGACACCAAGGTCATAATACAAGGTACAGAGTGGAGGAAGGCTGGCCTCTAGCCTCAGTGCTTTGAACTTGGACCTGGTCAGTGCCACCCAGGGCTCCAGGTACCACTCCAGCTCCCTCCAGACCCCTCTGCAAAGCAGTTGCTGGGCCTTCTCTCTTCTCACCCCGGTTCTTTAACCATCCTCTGCAGACTCTGTACCGTGTGACCAGGATGGCCAAGAGGTGAAAGAGAGGGTGAGAGGAGAGAGAGGGGGAAGACTGAGAACAGGATGCAAAGAGGGAAGCTCTCATGCAGGTGGGAGGAAAGAGAAGCACAGGGGAGCAGGAAGACTGGAGAAAGAGGGTAAGGGGGAGGTGGAGAGATCCGGGAGAAGAGAGAAGAAAGCGATGTGGCGGGACAGAGGTGAAGAAGGAGAAGTACCAGCAGGCAGGCTGCCTGCTGTCCATTCTCTGTTTAAAATCTTTGCAAAGTTCTTTTCTCTAGTGATGTTTGGTATAAGTAGACTCTTCAGTTATTTCAGAGTCTCAGAGGAGCTAGTTTGGACTATAAGCACCTATTTGGCAGACACATTAATCATTGTTAGGACAAGAAGCCTTGGAAGAATTAGCAGAAGGGCCGTAATTGGGAGAGTCTCAGGGGAAGCTGGCTGCAGGAAAGGTTCCTCGTGGTGTTAATTGCTTCGCCCAGAGGGGAGGAAATGGAAAGTGAGCAGAAGATAAGTGTTGAGGACACCCCTGTAGAAGGAGAGAAGAGGCTCCCCACCCCCCTCCTTGCTGGGCAGAGTTACCCAAGAGGCCAGCATCGAAGTACCATCTCCTGGGCCCCTGCCTGCCCAGTCAGAGTGTCCTGTCTGAAATACCATTGGCTTTAGGTGTTAAACCTGCCCAGAAACCCTGGAGAAAGATACGCAAAAAGAGAGCTTCTTCCTGGACTTTCACTGAAGATGGGGTGGAGATTAGATTGAGGAATTAGATTGAGGAGTGACCGAGAGCAGTTAAAGGGTAGTAACTAGCAGTCAGAAGCTTCTTTCTTTAAATCTTGATCCATCTTTTACCCAGCTTGTTAATTTAAGCATAGTGAGGAGCTTTAGGCATGTGTCGTAAAGTCTCTAAGGTTATTTATTAATACAAAGGTTGGCAGGGGAGTGTCTAAGGTGAGGACTTGGGCCCCAGACAGAAACACTGGGCTGAGCTGCTACCCAGAAGTGCTGAGGCAGAACTACAGGAACCCATCTGAAGACCCCCCCCCCCCCCCCGCCGGGCTGAGGACCACAGTCCTAGAGATGGTGAGCAGGTCAGGGACTGGAACCCAGCCCGCTGACCTGTGGGTTGTTTCTGTGTTTGTTTGTTTTTGCCATACCAGGTCTTCCTTGTGGCAAGCGGGCTCTTTGTTGGGGCACACAGGCTTTCTCTAGCTGTGGCTCATGGGCTTTTTGTCATGGTACACAGGCTTCTCTTGTTACAGGCTCTGGAGTGTGCAGGCTCTGTAGTTATGGCATGAAGGCTTAGTTTCCCCAAGGCAAGTGGGATCTTAGTTCCCTGACTAGGGATCAAACCTGCATCCTCTGCACTGGAAGGCGAGTTCTTAACCACTGGACCATCAGGGGAATCCTGGTTTGTGTTCTCAGAGGCCTTTTGCTATGGTTCATCCACCAAAGTGTTTTCTGACAGTTGTCAACTCACCACTCCAACCCGGCACTCAGGGAGCCTAGAGCGGACACAGCCCCCAACAGCAGCCCATACACATGACCAAAGGAATGCTGGAGAAACTCAGAGACAGGTTTGTTAGACACATGTCGGCTCTAGTTCTGAGCTGTAGAGACCAGTATAGGCATAACGTGGGTTGGACGTCCTCTGAGGCACCGTGGCCTATGGAGAATGGGCCTTGTACCCTGAGGGGTCCCGCCTGCCCCCAGATGGGGCACTCACCTGAGTGACCCCGGCTCCTCAAGTTTCGAGCAGGGATGGTGTGATGGGCCAGATCCTGTAGCCAGGACGGAGGGCTTGGAGATCTGAGGACAAGGAGAAGGGAAGAGCTCCACTGGGCAGCCCAGGAGGCTCTCAGAGCCCATGGTCAGGCCCTTGGATGTGGCACTAGGGCCTGCCGAGGCCCCTGCGGGCCCCGAGCTGGTGAGGAGAACAGACACCTCAGTTCCCATGGGCCCCACGTCTATTCAGAGCCGGGAAGCTCTGACTCCTGGGGACCAACGTAAGTCCCCCTCCTCAGCGGGAATGAAGAAGGATGTGTTCCTCTGGGGTCTGGGCCCTCTTGATGTTTACCAGCCCCCTGTCTGCCCAGCAGTATGTTCCACGCTGGATCGCAGGGACAGGAGGGCACGCTCTGCCCTCTTCCTGGCAGCCTGAAGCTGCCTGCCCTGGGTGCTTATGTCTCCCGCACTGCCTCCCGAGTCCCACCCCTCCCCGTTTAGGGACCCCTCCCTCCATTCCGTCACAGTCAGACCCTGACACACCGCTCTCCTTTGTGGACTTCGTAGATGGACTCTAGGTAGGGCCTTGAGTTTGGTAACTCGTGAGGGCCCCTCCCACCCTCACCCCTGCCCCATGTGAGTGAACATCAGAACATTAGGACAGTAGTCAAACCGGGGCAGGTTTGACTACAGGTATCTCACCTCCTGGGTCCCCAGCCACCCCAGCCTGACAAGAACACAGATTCTCAGATACCAGAAAAGCTGTTTCAGGTAACCAGAGTTTCATGTTCTTAAGCACAAAACTTGTGAACTCCCAGATTCTCTGTGTGCTTGGCAGTGGGGGCGGTGAGTGTCCATGAGCTGTGTGTGCATGGGTGTGCACAGGCATGTGGGGATTCACTGACTTAGCAGTTTCTCTTATTTCCATCTAAGTAAGTGGGAGAATGGGGAGGGTACCCACCAAGCCCCTGGTGGCTCAGATGGTAAAGAGTCTGCCTGCAGTGCAGGAGACGTGGGTTCGATCCCTGGGCAGGAAGATCCCCTGGAGAAGGGAATGGCTACCCATTCCAGTACACTTGCCTGGAGAATTCCATGGGCAGAGGAGCCTGGTGTGCTACAGTCCATGGGGTCACAAAAGGTCAGACACAACTGAGCAACTAACACATATACACCACCAAGCCCATGGTCCAGGAGGAAAGTGACGGGAGGTTTGGAGAAAGATGAGGAATCAGGTGTGGGGACCAGAAGAGCTCAGACACATGGATTTTGCCAGTGGAGGAAGTGAAATCACAGTGCACCCCCAGTGTCCAGCATGGAGCCTGTCCCAACCCCAGCTGTGTTCACCAAATGAAGGAAGGAGCGGACGGCTGAGTACAGTGCTGTCTGTGTCCGAGCTCTGGGTGAACTGTGGGCAGAGGATGAGCTGCAGCCCCCCCTGACTTCATCCCCTCTGTTCTCACGCTCCTTTCCTTCTCTCTCCATCCCTCTTTTTCAGGGCTTTGAAGACCCCAAGGACAAGTGAGTCACATGCCCTTCTTCACTCCTGCTCCTCGGTCTGGGGGCTGCCTCCAAGCTGCCTGGAGCTGGGTTTCTGTGCTCTGGAGAGGATGAGCTCAGGACACGCAGTCAGAGCCCATTGCACCTGAGAGACCAGCAGCTCGGGAGCCCAGGCCCCCGTAGAGAGGCTGGGCCTCGGGACCACCTGTTTATAATCTCCACTCCACACACACACGTGCACACACACAACTATACACACACACACACACTCTGCATGTGTACTCGCACCTACACACACGTGCAGCTCCCAGGCTGCGGCGGGCCTTATACATTGGTCGCCAGCTCCTGGCCCTATCCCAGCGACCAGAGGGAGTATCCCATTCTCTCTCCTCCACTTCCCCATCTCTGGGGCTGTCAGAAATCCCACTCGAGGACTGGGCTTCACTCTAGAAGTAGAGTGTTTAGTTCAGCACCAAAAGATTGTGCACCATGTTTCCCATAGAGTCCCCAGAGTCAGGCAAGAGCAGCCAGGAGGCTCCCAGGTCTTGTGGCAGAGGTCTTGCCTTCTGGTCTCAGCCTTTGATTTCAGGATGATGGTAAGCTGAAGAGTTAAGAGCAGAGATTGTTACCTGCAGGGGAAAAAACAAACCTTTGATGAAAATTCATATTATCATTATCATATATAACATATATGGGCTTCCCAGGTGGTGCTAGTGGTAAAGAAAACCCACCTGCCAATACAGGAGATGTAAGAGACGCAGGTTCGACCCCTTGGTTGGGAAGATTCCCTGAAGAAGGGCATGGCAACCCACTCCAGTATTCTTGCCTGGAGAATCCCATGAACAGAGGAGCCTGGTGGGTTACATGTTTTATCATTATCGTATAATAATATATATACCAATAGAGTTAGAAAATCCTTATGGTCGGGGGCTTCCCTGGTGGTTCAGATGGTAAAGAACCTGCCCACAATGCAGGAGACCTAGCTTCAATCCCTGGCTCGGGAAGATCCCCTGGAGAAGGAAATGGCAACCCATTCCATTATTCTTGCCTGGAGAATCCCATGGACTGAGGAGTCTGTCAGGCTACAGCCCATGGGGTCACAGAGTTGGACACTACTGAGCGACTAACACTTTCATTTTCACTATGGTCAGTGAAGCCCCCAAAACCCGCGGGGGCAGTTTTCTGAGACTTGGGAAGTTTTCTGCGCATGTAAGCACTTAAGATTCTGGCTGTCCTGGAGTCACTCTCAGCTTCCCACCCCCTAATTAGGGTTGATCCAGCCCCTCTAGTGGGTCTGGGTACAGGGCTGAGCCGGCAGTCCCCTCCGCCCCCCCCCCCCGCAGTAGCGCCCCCTGGTGGTCAGCCTATCTTGTGCCTGCGGTTCCTTGCTCACCAGGAACGCCCAGGAAAGTTCGAACCCTGAGGATGAAGTGGATGAATTTCTGGGCCGTGCCATTGATGCCAGGAGCATCGACAGGCTGCGATCTGAACATGTTCGCAAGTTCCTCTTGACCTTCAGGGAGCCTGACTTAGAGAAGAAGGTACAGCACCCCATGTGGGAAGGAGGGGCCCCAGGCAGAATCAGGACCACGGGGAGGGGGGTCGAAGCAACAGGCTGGCTCCCTTCCCACTTCCATTACCATGGAAAGAGCTCCTCCTTGTCACCTCCATTTCCCCAGTTCTGACGCTGTCCTAGCCAGGAAATGGGGCTTTTAGGGAGACTTTCTCAGTGGAAAAAGGTAAATCTTAATTTCTTTGTGCCTCAGTTTCCTTATCTGGAAAACGCAGTAGGTATTTACCTCACAGTGTCAGTGAGGATTAAACAAGTCCATATGTGTAAAACACATGAAACAGTATCTGCCACATAGTAGATGTTCAGTAAATACTGCTATTTGTATTATTGTTATTATCATCATAATGATAAATGGACCATCAGCTGCCTTTGGCACACTGGAACCTCAAAGTATTCGAGTTGGAAGGGGTGGTCAAGAGCTCTCGTCCCCCCTCCTTAAATTGTGACTGAGAAAGTAAAGCTCAAAGTAGTTGGGTGACTTGCCCTAGGCCACCCAGTGAAGTAGAGACAGAACTGGAACCAAACAGAGCGGGTCCAGGGTCTCTGCTACACGTCACAGGGTCTCCCTTGTGTTTGGGCAACATGGGATCATGTGAACTCATGATCGTGGCCAAGTGAGGCACACCAGATCAGGAGGGCGGAGCTATGAGAAGGGAACTTAGTCTGCTTACCGGCATAAATGGAACTGACTCATGCATTACCCTCTCTCTGCCAGCACAGCCATCCTTGCAGCTGGTTGATGTCATGGGAGGGGTGGGAGCTGGGAGTCAGGACCTTGGAGATGAGCTCTGTGACTCTTAACAAGCCGCCAGGCTTCTCTGAGACCCAGCATGCTCATCTCTGAAACAGAAACAGTAGCAGTCCTATACCTGTTTCCTGGGACTCTTGTGAGGATGTGCAGTGATGCCTGCAGGCTCCGGCACATGTCCTAGTGTGTAGGTGGTGCTTAGGAACGTGTGCCATGATCGTTATGGATTCCTCTCATGGTGACCCAGCCTGCAGAGTTTTTGGTTTAAGACAGTCCAGCCGCCCTCCCCACGGCCACCACAGTGTGGTGAGTGGACTGATTTCTTGAGAGCTGTGGCCAGTGCTGCTTCTTGACCTGGCCTTCCAGGTGTAGGGAGTGGGCAGTCCCAGCTGTGTCTCGGGTGAAGGGGGCTGGAGCAGACTGGCCGGGTGACCGCCCCCTCACCCTGTCCATGTCCTCTCAGTACTCCAAGCAGGTGGATGACCGATTCGGTGCCTACGTGGCATGTGCCTCACTCGTCTTCCTCTTCATCTGCTTTGTCCAGATCACCATCGTGCCCCAGTAAGTACCTCATCCCTTCCAGGCAACCTCTTCTGGCTGTAGGGGCTACAAGGGTAAAGAAGAGGTCATAGGAGATCAGAGGGGGGTGGGATCTGAGCTGAGTTTGCTCAGATAGGAGAGAAGTCTCCAGATGTGTGCTCAGGGGAACCAGGAAGCCGAGGTCTGCCTCCTCCCTGATGGAGAGGTGAAGTGCTCTTTGTGGGGAACTTCTATTTGGGCGCAAGCCAGCGCATGGGACACCCCTTCTCTCCACTTCATCCTCTCATCCTGTTTTAACACAGACCACTGTTGCCCACTGAATCACCCAAAGTATTCACCAGGTTGGTTTCTGTGTGACCTTTGGTTCTTGCAAAAAGTCAAAGCATCTTCAAAAGATAAAGGTTGAACTTCCCCACTGGTCCAGTAGTTAAGATTGTGTGCTTCCCACGCAGGGGGCACAGGTTGGATTTGGACTGCTGGTTGGGGAACTAAGGGCCCACGTGCTATGCCGCACAGCCAAAATAAGTAATTTTTTTTTAAGATAAGGTTTTTCTGCTACTCTGGATATTTCAAAGAATGGATCTCAGATTCTGAAGGCTTCTCTCAAAGAGATGTTCCTGAACTTTTCTGAGGACTGGCCATGTCCTGAGAGAGGCTTGTGTTTTCTGAGGGAACCACTCGGAAGTGGGCTGTTGGAAATGAAGTGTTTGTTAGACAGTCAGTCACTGTAGGTTCACAGCTAAGTGAGAAAGATAACCACTCCACATATGTGTTTATGTGTGTGTATATATATATGCGTATATACACATCTTTTACTTTTCATTAAGCAATATTTCAAGCATACAGAGAAGTAATTAATGTAATCAACACCCACCCCATTGGTAGAACAACTGTTAATATTTTGCAAATTTTGTTTCATCTGCTTTTATCTGATTTTTTAAAATTGAAGTATAGTCGATTTAGAATGTTGTGTTAGTTTCAGGTGTATTTCTGATTTTTTAAGGTAAATTTTAGACACAGGGACATTGTGCCCCTGATGAAATGTCAATCTACACCTGTTTTAAAGGCATTTTGCTTTTTAACCACCATGCCTCCTATACCAAACCAAACTAACCCCAGTTCCTCTGCAATCATCTAATACCAAGTCTATGTTCAAATTTCCAAAACTGTACCCCTAAATGTCTTCTGCTTCTAATTTATTCATAGCCAGGATATCCTCAAGAGTCACTGGTTGCATTTGGTTATGTCTCTTAAATCTAACAATCTAGAAGTGTCCCCTCACCCCAACACCTTCTGTTTTTCATTTTGAAATAACTATAAACTTATAAAAAGGTTGCAAAAGTACTGTGGAGGGTTTCTGTACATCCTTCATCTAGTTTCTCCTATTGTTAACAACCCACATGACTATAGTACGGTAGTCAAAATCGGGAAGTCAGCATTGCAACGATACTATGAACTAATCTACAGGCTATATTCTCATTTCATCAGCATTCCCCCAAATGGCCTTTTTGTGTTCTAGGCACTGGGCCAGGACCCCACATTGGATTTAACTGCTGTATCTCCTTAGTCCCTTCTAGGCTGTGATGCTTCCTCAGCCTTTACTGATCCTTCATGGATTTGGCACTTTTGTTGAGTACTAGCCAATTAATGTGTAGAATGTCTTGGGCTTCCTGGTGGCCCACTGGTTAAGACTGTATGCTTTCAATGCAAGAGGCCCAGGGTTCAATCCCTGATCTGAGAACTAAGATCCCACAAGCTGCAGGCAGCCAAAAAAAAAATTTTTTTTTAATGTGTAGAATGTCTCGATTTAGAATGTCTCAATTTAGGTTTGTCTGATGTTTCCTCATGATTCGATGGAGGTTATTTTTGACAAGAATCCCACAGAAGTGTCCTCAGTGCATCATATGGGGAGGTGCACACGTCATGGTGTCTTATTACTCAATGCTTTTTATTTTTTAATGGTGCTTATTGTTGAAGAGATGGCCTTTGTGTTTGTGTCTGCCGTGACCCTATCAGAATACTGCAGGTGAAAACCAAACACCAGCAGCCAGCTGCTCCCTGGCTAGGCAGCTAGTGCCCATTGCCCCCTGCACTGAGGCTGTGCAGAGCTGGTGGGATTGTGGGTCTTTATGGCAGGGACCTACGTTCAGTAATGAAATGGAGCTATAGCTATAATAAGCAACCTAGACTTTCTGTCCCATTGCAGCTGAGAGTCCCCTTCACTTGAGTGCACAGTCCGCCTCCTTGCTGCTTCTCTTTTTCCGCAGTGTGGCTTGGGGCTGGGATTTTGCAGATCCCTGCTCTGCCAGCAGCAGCTTCCCTCCCTCCTGGCCACAGCACCGAGCTGCTAAGGCATGGACAGAGGTCGTTCTCTGGCTGTCCTCTCTCCAGGGAAGCCTTAAAATCTACTTTGAAGGTCTTTCTTTCCCTCTGAAGAGAGTTCTCTCTGCCTGTTCTATTTGTTTAAGGCAGATAAGTGCTGGCTCCTGGGAGAGCCTGGAACAAAGACGCCTCCCTGGAGGTGTCCACCTGCCCTCTGTGTCCCCCACTTGCCTCTAACCTGCGGACAACGCCTGGCATCTCAGGCCATCTCACTCCCTGAAAGGGAGAAGGAGTGTCTGAGGCTCCTGTGGTTGGTGGAGAGTGCCGTGCCTCGGCCAGCCCCTGTCCCAGGAGAGCCGAGGCAGGCCCCAGATGGAAAGTCATCTGCAGTTCTCTCGTCCAAGGATTCTGGCTCTTGGTGAACATTAAGCTCACCTGTGATCTGCTCCTGTAAGGAGTGACAATGTGGAGAGCCTGGAGGGTTTTATGACTTGTTGAGCTGGGTGGGAGTAGGGGAACAGAAGGACTGAGCAGGACTGTTGTGCAGCCTGACAGTGGGCACAGCTTTAGGGACTCTGCCCTCCAAAGGGACATGTCACTACTGTTTCTCAGAGTGGCTGGTTGTGTTGTTGACAAATGCATTTCTATAAATGATGGCCATTTATCAAATCAATGTTCCATCTTCAGAGTTACTTGTCAAGCCATGAGTGACTACCTGGAGGGAACAACCAGGTGATTTTTAAAATAGGTCCTTCCCAGTTAAACAAAATGTGTCTATGGATAGCTAAGGATTAGGTAAAACATTGAGCAGGTGTCACCAGTTCTCCATTCGGCCCTGCTGTGGGCTGTGCTCCCCCAGGAAAGTGACAGGACCAAGAGGAAGGGCAGGAGCCAGACCATTACGGAGGAGGGTCCTAGATCGGCTCACAAGGCTCTAATCTCCCCTCGGTGAGTCAGGGGCCAGGCACCAAAGGCTGGGCAGTGGGTGCAGGAGAAATGAGCAAGTTCTGCTTCCTTCGCAGGGCCTCTCAGAGCCCTGGAATTCCCACCTCCTCTCTTCCAGCTCCGTGTTCATGTTGAGTTTCTACCTGACCTGTTTCCTGCTGCTGACCTTGGTGGTGTTTGTGTCCGTGATCTATTCTTGCGTGAAGGTGAGTCCAGTTTACAGTTGATCCCCAGCTGCCTTCTCCCCTCGCCTCCCAGCCCTCTGATAAGCTCCCCGCGATGGAGCTGGAGGGTCACGCTCGGGACCCAGGTGCCTGATGCTGGATCATACCTCTTGATTGGCACTGGCAGCAAGCCAGACTGCAGGGGCCATAGTTTGTCTGGGGGTGTTTATTTGTACAGGCTGTTTCTGTTAGCCTTTGCCCATCTCTGCAACAAGAAGATTCTATTGCCATCTCTTCCATCTGTCCTCTGGGTATCAGATGGGCCAAAGGAAGGGCACCCAGCACAAAGCCGAGAACAGAGCAGTGGTCACTAAAAATCTGCTGAAAGAATGGCTGAAAGAGGTCACACCTCTTCTGGGTTCCAGTGTGCCCCAGAGATGGCCCTGGAGGAGGCCTTAGAGATGATGGCTTTTGAGCTGCCCATCATATAGATGAGAGGGAGATCCAGAGGGGTCCATTGTTTCAAACTAGGCCACATGGCTAGGGATATGGATGTGAGACCCTGCTCTATATTTTTCTCCCATGTCTCCTCTTAAGCATGCCATGTCTCCATCCAAGCTGTGTCCTTTTAGGTGACCTGACCATAGGTTATTAGGGTCAGTTGTAGAAATCAGTCAGGTTCCCATTTGCTTTGCCCACCAACCTCTTCCTCCAGTTCTTTCCCACTGGTTTAAGAATTCCCTGGGCTTCCCTGGTGGCTCAGAGGGTAAAGCGTCTGCCTATAATGCGGGAAAACTGGGTTCGATCCCTGAGTCGGGAAGATCCCCTGGAGAAGGAAATGGGAACCCCTCTAGTACTCATGCCTGGAAAATCCCATGGATGGAGAAGCCTGGTAGGGTCGCAAAGAGTCAGACATGACTGAGCGACTTCACTGTCACTAAGAATTCCCTGATGGGGCCAGTCTGGTTCTAGAAAGCACTCTGTCCTGGCAGGGAGAAGCCCTGTCCAGCTTGTGCTGTAAGCATTTCTCTGCTCCTCCTGGGCACTCACGTGGAGCCAAGCCCCTTGGGGCCTTAGGCCCTGCTACCACTCCCTACACCCTCTGCAGGGGGCACCCTGTTCTCCTTCCTGGGGAGCTGGGCCTTTGTCACCTCCAGAGTCCTCTTTCTCCCTCCACCCTCCAAACAGAGTCCTTCATTGGGCTGTTCACTGTTTCATCGCCTGATGGTCAGTATCTTGAAGGATTGATGGTCAGAACTGGAAGGACCTTACAACCATCTGGTGTGCTACAGCCCTGCCTCTGAGTGGGTTGAGGGAGAGGCAGGGCTGGCCAAGGTGACTTGGCAGATTGAGCTGGGTGCTCAGCCTGTTGCTGTGCTGCAAGGTAGGGGTTAACCCTGGCTCCCTGCCTCTCCACCGGCTCCTTCCCTGAGGCTACAGCCTCGCTCCTGCTCTGTGTTCAGTCCCTCTTGCCCTTTGGTCTTGCTGTGGTCAAGCCTGCCTCCCCCAAACCTATTTATCCCTCCGTGGACAGTCCCACTTTCTTCATCTCATGCCTGTAAAAGCACACCATATATTCACAAGAGCCAAAAGGTGGAAACAGCCCAGGTGTCCATCAACAGATGAACAAATAAACAAAGTGTTACCCATACAATGGAGTATTATTCTCCCATAAAATGGACTGAGATTCTGACACATGCAACAACACGGATGAAGCCTGAAGACACTGCGCTAAGTGAAAGAAGCCAAACACAAAAGGCATATATTACATGATTCTGCTTATATGAAGTATCGAGAATAGACAGATTGACAGAAATAGAGTGTAGACTAGAAGGTACCAGGGGCCTGGAGAGGGAGCATGAAGAGTTATTGTTTACTGGGTTCAGAGTTTCTGTTTGGAGTGATGGAAGGGTTTGGGAAATAGAAGTGCTGGCTTCACGGCATTTGTACAGGTAATTCATGCCACAGACATGGACACTTAAACTGGCAAAGTTTTGGTTAAACTGGCAAGTTTTGTGTTATATATACTTCACCACAACCTTAAAAAAAAAAGCATACCGTAGCTAAAAGGGCCTCTTAAACATTCTTTTGCTGAATGCTCAAAAAAGAATCTTTCCTTCTTTGAAGTTATAAACTGAGGCAAAGTCATTATTTATTTGAGGAACTTAATGAGCCTATTCAAATCAGAATCAAAGTTTTGTTCACAATTTTTAAACTGGAACCTAGATTTATCTCTTTTCTGTTAGCTGCTGTGGTAAGCCTGAGCTACACTGAATTCATCTGGGTTGTGTTCCCTGTTTTGAGTGTGTATCTGCTGGTGGGGGAGGCCGGGGAGAGGCGGGGTCGGGGAGGGACGGGGGACAGACCCATTTCCCCACCCGCACTGCCATGTTGAGTTAGTTCTCTGGTCTAGTGAATTCTTGCCATTGTTGGAGATTATTTATAAAAATCTTCCCTGCCTCCTTGTGTTTTATTGAATCTACCTATTTTGTAATCAACATCACATTTAATCAGCTTGCTCTCAATTCCTCTATCCACCTCAGCGATTTTCTGACTGCTCTGAGGCCTCAGTTTTCCTGAGGGGGGGTTGGGGGGCAGGGGGTGGTTGGAACACTTACATCCCCCACACCCTTCTACCAGGGGAGCCTGCTTCTTCCATCTTGCAGATGTAGAGTTTCTATAAAGAGTGTGTTTAGGAAAAAAAAGTACTCTGTGACTTATCAAGCCTGAAACCTGCTGATCTAGGCCAAGAAGCAAATAGACTCTAATACCCATCTTGGGGTCCTGGCTGCATCTGTCTCTCACAAGCCTCTGATAATCCATCTTCTCAGCATTTATCCACTTTCTGTAAAGTAGACCCCAACCTGAGCAATTGTCTGTAGTATGAACTCCTCTTCCAGTTAATCTTCCAGTTAATCTTTCCTCTTCGTGTTGTGCATGAACTGCACAGTAAGATGTGAAGGGGGTTAAGTCTCCCCTTTGGTGTCTCTGTAGCAGGGCAGGTTGGCCCTCCCTTCCCCCCACACTGCCTGCAGCCTGACTCACTGAAAGTTGATTATATCACCTTCCCAGGTATTGCCATGAAGCTGATTGAACTGGAATTTTCAGTGTCATTCTGTTTTTCTCTGTGAAAAGATTTGCCAGAACTCAGACATTTTTCATCTTATTCCCACAGTTTCTCAGATGTCATGGCTAGTGGCATTATGAAGAGATAGAGCAGTTCCTAAATCACCCCCCTCACAATGGGCTCCTCAGATCCAAAGCCAGGCGGTTCTGTCAGACATGGTCTCTTTCTCTGTTTCATTTACTTTTCCATTTCCCCAAAACAACTTGGACTTGGATGATTTCTTAAACCATCCACATTTTATTCCTTTTGAAGAGAGAAACATGAAGAAAGTGTAGTCTGAGTCAGTTGACACAGTCTTCTTAGCCATCTGTCTGGGAGCAATTCCTGGGTCCTTTCTATTGGAAGGTTTTTCTGAAATGTGCTGCTCACCAAGGGCTCTGAGTGTGTTTTCATCTTGGGCCTGTGTGGTCTCTTCCTGACACAGCTTGGTCCAGATCACACACACACCTAGATTTCTCAGCAAAACTGATTTGGAGCCTTGATCTTCCTCTTGTCCCAAAGTCCAGTCTCGCTGCCCTCTGGAGCTCCTCTGCCTGGGGTACCTTGTCCTGAGGAGCGTCCCCTGAGCACCTCTTTCTGGTGAGGCTCTTAGAGGGCTTTGTGGACACCCAGACACTCTAGTCCTTTCTCCCCTTGGCACTGGTGCTGATCTGGGCCCCAGAGCTGCTCAGAGAAAACCATGCTAAATCCCTCTTTGCATCACACGTGGTCCACAGACTCAGAGAATCTCAGATTGGAAGGTTCCCAAACAGTGAGACAGTCCAGACAACCACCTGAGCCTGGAACCCCTTTGCAATAACCCTGCCAGATCCAGGCCAGCCTCTGCTGGGTCCCCTCCAGGGGTGCAAGCCTGTTATATCTCCTGAGTGCAGTCCCTTCCCTTTTTGGCTGGCTCTGCCTGGTCCATCAGTCTCCCTGTCCCTCCATCCCGTCATCATCCAGTGAAGGGGCCAAGGCCTGCCCCTGACAGCACTGGCACTTTTGCCAACGCCACCACCCAGGTGGGTGGAAGAGTGCGCCTCCCTTCTGTTCCTACACTTGATCAGGGTTCCCTGTCTCTCCTGTGGCTCCTCATCATGTTCTATCTCAGAAGGCCAAACTCTGCTTTCCTGCAGTTTGGGAGCTGGGTACAGATAGGCCCAGAAGGCTTATCTGACCGGAGCTTCCTACAGGCCCTTGTCTGCCCTGTGCAGTCACCAAAAGGCCCCCTGTCCCTCTCCCTGAAGCCTGAATGTAGCCAAGTCCCACCTTGCCAGCTCTCCTTCCTACCACTCCACCCTGACTCCTGCCCACAGCTTCTGAAGTAAGGTCTTACTCCACCACCAGTACCTCTCGCCTCCCAGTACCTCTGTCCTGTGACCACTGCAGAATCCCACACTCACGTTTCCAGATGCTTGGGCTCGCACTCCGTCTACTAGAAGAGGGTGTGCTGCCTGCGGGCACAGGTCGTCTAGGGGTGGAGAACTCTTCATGCCAGGAAGCGGATCTTAGGTTCCTCCCGTGGCTTTTCAGTCTGCTGTCCTGGGTCCAGAGCCCAGCTGTGCCACCTTGCCTGGCCTTTCCCAAACCTTGAAGGCAGCTTTTATTATATTCACTTTGCAGATGAGAAGAATGAGGCTCCAAGTGGTTAGACAGCTTCCCCTACATCCCAGAGCTAGGAAGTGGGGTTGTTGTTGGTGTTTAGTTGCTAAGTCGTGTTTGCAATCTCATGGACTGTAGCCTGCCAGGCTCCTCTGTCCATGGGATTCTCCAGGTAAGAATACTGAAGTGGGTTGCCATTTCCTTCTCCGGTGTATCTTCCTGACCCAGGGATCGAACCCACATCTCCTACTTTGGCAGACAGATTCTTTACCACTGTGCCATCAGGGAAGCCAGGAAATGGGATAGCTGGGTTTTATATGCAGATGATTCTTGACTCCAGAGCCCACAACCCTTCCCCTCCAGGACACTGTCTTTGTTAATATGTCCAATTGACCCCTGAAAGGCCAGGTGATGAGAGCAGTAGTGTGTCACCTGGTCACTGCCTGCCTGCTTTGTTCTGAAATTTTCGTATCTTTTAAAAAATTTTTTCTGAAGCAGGAGCCACTGCTTCTGTTATTACTTCCTTGTCAGAAAGTCTGTTTTCTTAAATGTTCTGCTGTCAGATTGCATCCAGATTTCATTCCTGGATACCCTGGCCCCACATCACAGTAAGGAACCAGGACCCTAGGGAGGTCATTGATTTGCCTGGAGACTTCCAGAGAGGCCAGGATCAAAGCTGTCCCTCACCCGGTCACGGTTTATTAATTGTGTCGCCATTCCCGTTTTTCAAGTTGAATTGATTTGAATTAATCAGATTGGGAATGTACTGGATGGGAAATTTTTTTAATTGATTCTTTTCCTGAGCTCTGCTGGTGAACAGGCATTGAGCAATTGGTTTGCACAGATATAATCATTCTGCCAGACAAATGCCCTCCAGGATCTGTTTGCAGCTGTAGGGCAGCCCCACGAGGAGATTCTACTCCAGGTGAAAAATCTTATTGTTTACACCAGGGTTAGTACAGGTAGGATTTCGGGTCAATATACAGGGAAATTTTTTATTACAGGAGGTGAGATATTCCATAAACCTTTGCCAGGCCAGGATGTCAAATCTTCTGCAGACTTCAAAATATCAGCAATTACTGGGTTCCTGCTGAGATTTAAAGTTAAGAGAAGATCTTTTGAAATGGTGACAAGGAAAATTGGTTTGTAGCAAGCCAATGCATTGAGGTAATCATTCTTTAGCTATTACAAGTTTATTCCTGGTTAAATTTTGTTTAATAGCCTGCAGTTCTTCTCTTGGCCTCTGGGTGGCCCCCGTGGGGCTCCTGGTCCCAGGTTCACCAGGAAGCCTCTGTGCACCTAGTGTTCCCCAACCACCTTTCTGGACATGAGTTTGAGCAAACTCCAGGAGATACTGAAGGACAGAGGGAGGGTCGGATACGACTTAGAGATTGAGCAGCAACAACCACCACCTTCTATGGGCTTCCCTGGCAGGTTAGTGGTAAAGAACTTGCCTGCAATGAAGGAGACGTGGGTCTGATCCCTGGGTCAGGAAGATACCCTGGAGAAGGAAATGGCAACCCACTCCAGTATTCATGCTTGGGAAATCCCATGGATAGAGGATCCTGGCAGGCTACAGTCCATGAGGTCACAAAAGAGTCGGACATGACTTAGCAATTAAAGAACAACAAAACCACCTTCTATAAAGGCTTTAGCATCTAGTGATAACTTGCCTAAATCAGTCATTACACTGGTAATGAAAGAAGCCATTCAATTGATGGATAGGGTGATCAGAACTGAAATGGCTTAAGCAACATGGGGGATGGGAGGATGAAATGGCAAAATTTTAAGCAGGCAAAGATTAGAAACCATCTGTCATACCGTTTCAGAGTAAGTAAGTGCCTCATGCTCCTGCCAAAACATTTTCCACAGCTGTGAAACCAAAAATTCCTTTAATGAGAAACAAGGACTTTTGTTCTTATTGGCAACATAGCTCTTTAAAATGAAAATATTAACTAAATTTTCTACTGAATTTAACAGCTTTCAAAGCACTTTCAAATGCATCGTTTCATTGGGTCTTCATGACCACCCTAGAATATCCACTACCCAGGAAAGTAGATGTTCCCTGTTTACCAATAAGGAAGCTGGGACTCTAAGATCTTAATGACTTTCCCAGGATCACACAGTAAGAGGCTGAGCAGGAATTTTTTAAATAAGCACTTTTTTGAGATATAATTCACATACTAAAAAATTCTCCTTAAAAAGGTCATAAAATTATAATTCAGTAGCTTCTAGCATATTCACAAAATTCTGCAACTATCACCACTAATTCCAGAACATTGTCATCATCCCCAAAAGAAACCTTACACCTATTAGCAGTCACTCATTCCCGGTTCCTCTCATCTGCTAGCAACCTCAGATCTATTTCCTGTTTCTATGAATTTGCCTGTTCTGGGCCTTTTGTGTAAGTGGTATAATATAAAAAATGGCCTTTTGAAATAGGCTTCTTTCACTTAACATATCTCAAGGTTTGTTCATCTTGTACCATAAAACAGCACTTCATTCCTTCATCTGTGACCAAATAATATTCCATCATGTAGATTTACTACGTTTGGTTTCTTCCTTCATCAGTTGATGGACATCTGGGTAATTTCCACTTTCAGGCTATTAATGTTGCTCTAAACATTTGCATATGAAGTTTTATATGGACTTAAGTTTTCAGTTCTCTTGGGTATATACCTAAGAGTATAAAAGAGTGGGTTCAGTCAGAGTTCAGATTACCCTCCAAAGGAAGTGTTTTCTCAGAAAAAAATGCCAGACTCAGTGCTCCATGAGCACAGCTGAGAGGCACCTCTGCTTGGCACATGAAGTTCAAGGTCTTCACCACTCAGCCTAGAGCCCAAGTGGGCTGTAAGCCTCCGTCCCTGCTACAGTCCTTCTATGTGGTCCCTTCTTTCCCTCTGCTGAATAGGAAATGGACTTGGTAAGGCAGAGGGAGATTTGGAATGGAAAAGATATACAGCTTCCCTACATGCATACTTAGCCCAAAGCCCAAGACTCAGGGATAAGCAGGGCACTTTCTTGGTGTCAAGAACTGTGAAGGGTCTGAGATTTGGTTTTACGCTTGTTTCTCTTTCACAGATGCTAGCAGAAGTTACCAGACTCTTGGTTCAGAGACAAGAGACTTTATTACTCATGGCAAAGCAAGCACTACAAGCATCAGCATATTTGTTTTGGTTTGCCAAAGTCTCATGGGGGCAACCTGATGGGCCCACATGGAACCACATGTAATAAGTTTGGGTCACAGCTGAGGAACACTGGACCAAGGGCCTGACACTTGCTGGCCTTAAACACTGTAGCACGTGAGCCAGTGTTCTCCACATTGGGAATGAGCAGTCATATCACGGTCACACTGTGTGCCCTCACCTACCTAGCTGTCTATGTTACTCTCTGTAAGAGTGGGTGGCTAAGCCTTGCATCCGGCACGCTCAGTCAGAATGTGCAGGTATGCTCAGGGTCACCCAGGAAAAGCCACGCCCAGAACCCAGGCCTCTGGGTGCTTTTCCACCAGCTTCCTCTGCTTGTAGGGGTTTCCGTGGGACACATGGCAAGCGTGAAAATCAGCCTACCAGGAGGCATTAAGGTAGGTGGGGTGAGAGAAACAGGTCCACCACTTTGCTTTTCTGGGTCTGCCAACTTCTTTGGGTTGCTTAGGAGATGAAGAGGACGTGGTGGCCAAGGCCAGTTGTATCCGATTTGGTAGACCCAACCATTTAATTACCAAAACTGCAGTGGGCCTTTGTGGACATACAGTGTGTGTAGTTGAAGGAAATATAGGGAGGGTTAGGAGAGGGAAATGGCAGACTCATGGGCATCCTGCTGAAAAAACTCAGTTCATGTGACCAGGGTGCCACCCTCTGCTCACAGGTTGTTCTGCCCCTTTACACATGCCCATCCCCTTCTTCCAGATACCAGGCTCTCCCTGAGCCTTCAGATCCACAGCTCCCTGCTTTGTCCCAGAAACCCTCTGACCCTCCTCGGAAAGTTCTGCCATGACTCTTTCACTGCTGCCTCCTGCCGCTCCCTGAATGTAACTCTAAGGGGCCCAGCATTCACACAGTTGGTACATGGGCTTTTTCCTCTGCTTCCATGTTGGGGTGAAGGTAGCATCTTTCCTTTCATCCTTCCTTTCTCACCTGTGAGCTCCTCAGGTGGACCCCTCCTGGCCCCCTGCAGAATCTCACTGTCGTTGGCCTGGAAGCAGAGGTTGGAGGCTCACACACAGGGAGGGGGGTCAGGAAAGCTTTCAGGGTTCTGCTGGTGACAGACAAAGAGGGGGAGAGCCTCCGCAGCCTCCTCTGTGGCGGTATGTGGAGTCCATTGAATTCTGTTTCGTCTCTCTCTCCCTCCCTCCCTCTGCCCCTGGGACAGCTCTTCCCGGCCCCGCTGCAGACCCTCTCCAGGAAGATCGTGCGGTCCAAGATGAACAGCACCCTGGTGGGGGTGTTCACCATCACCCTCGTGTTCCTGTCAGCTTTTGTCAACATGGTGGGTGGCTTCACCTCCCCAGCACCTCCCCAGCCCATTGGGGCCCTGAACCCCATAAGCAAGCACTGGGAGGAGACTTCCCTCAGGCCCTGGGGTTCTCCCTCCCTGGAAATTCTTATTTGGGTCTCACCTCAGGCCTGGAATCAGATTTAGCTCCTAAAGCCTCTCACAGCATTTAGTCCTTACTCTCAAGGCCAGAGGACCAGAGGCTCTCGGAAGTACACCCCCCAAAGGGAGGTTTATGAGCCTTGTCCTGGGTAGTTGGGCAAGTCTTGCCTGTTCCTCGGCCTCTTCCACGCTCATCCCCTGCCCTGGTCAGGGTCAGACTGCACCCAAAACCGGGAGCATGTGCTGCCTGTGGAGATGGGCTGCTCTGGCCTGGCCCCCATGGGCTGAGCCTCTCCTCCCCGCCCCCAGTTCACGTGCAACTCCAAGGACCTGTTTGGCTGCCTGGGGGACGAGCACAACATCAGTGCCAGTCAGGTCAACGCATGCCATGTGGTGGAGTCGGCCGTCAACTACAGTCTGGGTGATGAGCAGGGCTTCTGCGGCAGCTCCTGGCCCAACTGCAACTTCCCTGAGGTACTGGGCAGGGTGGGGCAGGATGCAGATGGGGACCCGCCACCAGCCCCTCTCCACCCTCAACTACGCTGACGGACAGTCAGGGGCCCTCGGGCTCACTGCCATTCCAGAAACCTCCTTCCCCCGAAATCTGTCTCACTCTATGTGCCAGACACCAGTGAGCAAGGCCAACCTCCCTGTATAATATTACCAACAATAATAGCATAGCTATTGCTTATAGGGTGCTTACCATGTACCAAACACAGTGCTAAGAACTTCACATTTACTCATTTAGTCCTCAGGGCAACCTTGTGACAAAGATGCTATTATTAGCTCCTTTATACAGATGAAATTGAGGCACAGAGAGGTTAAGTAATGTGCCTAAGGTCACACAGCAAGTGGCAGAGCCAGAGCTCCCACCCAGGTCACCTGACCTAAGAATTTTTGCTTTTAACCTGAAGGCAGAGCTGTTTCTGTACCCTCAGCCTCAGCAGCATACCCCAGTGCTGCCCTGGGTGGCCTGCCTGATCCCTTTGCTGTAGGTCAGAGAGTGGAGGGGAGCGAAAGAAACTATCCCAAACCAGTACTACCACCTGGCCCACCCATTCAAAGTATAGTTCAGCTTTTAGTGTATCACTGGGTTGGGTTCTCCTACTAATTCACTAGCGCTTCCCTGGTGGCTCAGATGGTAAAGCATCTGCCTGCAATGCAGGTAGACCTGGGTTCAATCCCTGGCTCGGGAAAATCCCCTGGAGAAGGGAATGGCAACCCACTCCAGTATTCTTGCCTGGAGAATTCCAGAATTCCATGAACTGAGGAGCCTGGGGGCTATAGTCCACAGGGTCCCAAAGAGTTGGACACGACTGAGCGACTAACACACTTAGTATATTCACAACTTGTGCAGCCGTCATTATAATGGGATTGTACAGCATTTTTGTCACCCCAGAATGAAATCGTGTACCTACAGATCATTGGGTTTAAAAATTCGGTGTCGAGAACCCTTAGAGAGCAGCATGCTGAGTGCTCCGCCACCCTGCTGGGCCTCCTCAGGGAGCCATTCTGCAGAGAGCAGCAGGATCAGGCTTCCAGCCCAGCACATCTTCTCCCAGCACTGGTCACTCCCACAACCCGACTCCCTACCAGGGCGCCCATGAAATCTAAGATGATGGCGGTTTTTGCCCTTTTCTGGGGAGAAAGCCCGTGCTTTCATCCGACTCCCAAAGGGCCCATGACTCATAAGAAGTCTCCAGGATGGCAGTGAGGGCCCCCAGGGACTCTCACAGTGCTGGCCACCTTCCCCACCCCAGGGAAGGGGACTGATCTACCTCCCCTGTATGGATGGGATGAGGGAGACTCAGTGAGAAGTGGGGCGCCCCTGCACAGTGTCACCTGGACTGCCTGTCCCTGGGCCCCACAATGCGCTCACTCTGCCCTGGAAGCCATGCTCCAGTGCCTGCCCTTGGCTCTCCGCCTCTCTTCCCTCTCACATCTGGCTGCCAGAGGGCTGTTGGCTGGAAGCCGAGGCCGTTTTTGGTCTTGCACGTGTCCTTTGGTGGCTGCTCCACGGGCAAGCAGGGGAACAAAGTGATGGCAGGGCCTGTTCTGGTTCCGTGTTTGTGGGAGACGGTTGATTACAGCCTTCAGCTCTCACCAGCCTGACCCGTTTTGGGCCCTCAGATCCCAGGACTCACCAGCTGCAGACCACTCAGGCTGACCCCACCCCACAAGTGTTGTTCTGATTCAGCAGTTCAGCAGCTCCTCAGAGACCTGGGTGGACCTCAGTATTAAGCTCTGGCCTTGTCTGGGCCCAGGGTCTGAATGGGCCTCCAGGCTGGTGCTGTGTTCCCCTCCCCACCCCCCGAGGACACAATTATTATCCTTGAGGCTGATGTGTCTACTCCTTCCTCTGCCCCTTTCCTGCTGGTGAGCTGAAGCAGGTCCCTCCCTCTTCCAGTCACCAGGGGCTACCCTCACTTCCAGCCACCAATACTTGGCCTCCATCCCAAGGCAGTGGCAGTAGTGGGTCTTTTTGCCTGGCGCAGAAATAGTGATGCTAAATTTAAAAGAAAGAGCAAAATAATAGATGCTGACTGTCTTGGATTAATATCAGGGGACAACAGAACAGAAACTGACCTCTGAGATGGCCTGGTTTAGCCCCTCAGACGATTGTCCGAGGCTCCGAAACTGAGGCTCTGAGACCAGAAGGGATTCCCCCCAAAGTACAGGGAGGCACAGTCCCTCATCTGAAACCTTTCAGATCAGATATATTTTGGACTGTGAAACTCTTCAGAGTTAAAAGTTTACCTCACACCTCGGTGCAATCTGGGCAGCACCTGATAATGAAACACAGAAGCATTTCTGCAGCAAAATGTATGAATAGTCACAGGAAGCAGGACAAAGGTGGTACTTCACATCACGTCAGTAGATCAGTTTGGCCACCAAATAAAGCAGTTCAGATGTTGCCACCACATCAGTTATGAAAAAACTTTTAGTTTTTAGGACTTTGGATTTAAAGTTGTCGATCTAGGGCTGGGGCCTGCACTCTCATAGTTATGGAGGGCACCACACACTGTGGCAGGGGGCTTCATGTCATTTTTAATCATCACAGTAAGCCCAAGGGAGAAAAGGTTTTGAATGCAGGGAAACAAGCTTAGGGGCTTTCCTGGTGGCTCAGACAGTAAAGAATCTGCCTGCAATGCAGGAGACCTGGGTTCGGTCCCTAGGTAGGGAAGATCCCCTGGAGAAGGAAAAGGCTACCTACTCCAGTATTTTGGCCTGACTGTATAGTCTATGGGGTCGCAAAGAGTCGGACACAACTGAGCGACTTTCACTTTCAACAAGCTTAGAGAGGTTAAATAAATGGCCAAAGTCACATGAACAGTCCATAATGAATCAGGGCTGAAACTCAGGTTTGCCTGAGCTGGAAGACCTGCTCTAACCACTAAGCATCACTGCTGGAACTGGTGGTATTTATCCTGCCAGCCCCATCTCCTAGTTTCTACCCATGGCCATTCACATCGCAGTACAAGTTTGCATCAGCAGAAACATCCCCAGACTCGGTTTCACCTGAGATCAACTCAGACTGGAGAGAGGCTGGGGGGCGGGGCCAGGACCGGTGGGGCCTGGGGCGCTAAGGCTGCCTTCCTCTCTCGCAGTACTTCACCTACAGTGTGCTGCTCAGCCTGCTGGCCTGCTCCGTGTTCCTGCAGATCAGCTGCATCGGGAAGCTGGTGCTCATGCTGGCCATCGAGCTCATCTACGTGCTCGTCGTTGAGGTGCCCGGTGTCACGCTCTTTGACAATGCCGACTTACTGGTCACGGCCAACGCCATGTAGGTGGCACCCACCTCGGACCCCAAACGGGGTCTGGAGCATTGCAGAGAGACAGGAAAAACGGAAGACTGGGGTCCTGGGCCGCAGGGGGCTTCCAGGGGAGTATCCTTTTGCTCCCAGCTCTGACCACCTAGGCAAAAACAGTTCAGTGTCTTTTTTCTTTCCCTCTATCCCTCTCCCAGTGATGAGGGTGGCCTCAGGGCTACTAGGTCCCCTGTCCTTCTGCCTCCAGACTCTTACTCAGTCCTGACTTCAGGCTTCAGTGATTTGTTCCTCATCTGTCCCAGGCAGCCTTTGATGGGCTATTTTCACCTCACTGCCTTGCAGCCTCAGGCCCAGAGGGGTCAAGGTCCAACAGAGCTGGAAAGCAAGGTGTGTGGGAGCAAAGGAACAGCCTCGTTGTTTGTGGGCATTTGTCCTGCCTTAAGCTAGACACCTGGACATACTTTATCCCTTTCATCCTCATGGCAACTCAGCAAAGTAGAGAGGGCCTCCCTGGACAGTTGGGTAGTTTGTGCACTGCTCAAAGGCTCCTGACTGTGATGGTGAGCAGTTAAGTCCCACAGCCAAGAGGTGGCATGAATGAGGATTGTGCCTCGGGCATTCTAGCTGGCAGTCCGTCTGGTCAAATAGTGACAGATGTCAGATTTCCGAGGGAGGTGGCTCTTTGAGGAGAAAGAGCTCTGATTTGGGGTCAAATTGAGTTTGAATCTCAGCTTCAGACACACATTTAGCTATTCTTCCTGAATCTCTCATTATTTTTTCCCAGTAGAGTGCGAATAATAATGCCTATAGCAGCAATATGCGTGTAAAGTGCCTGATACGTAGTACCCTTTTCTTCCCATTACCATCTCTGTCCTCCCTACCCCAACACATACACATCAGGAAGTGCAAAACATGTGAGCTGACAGGTCTGTGTTCCCTGAGAAAATGCAGCACTGTGCTTTCTCTGAGTTAGAGGAAAAGATTTATTCATCCATCTATCCAATCACTCAAAAATATTTACAGAGCACCTACCCTGTTCCAGGCACCAAGCTTGGCAGTGGAAGTACAGTCATGGATAACATCGGCCATTCCAGTGTCAGAAATGATGTTACCTTCTTGTGCAGAGAGTGTCACCTGAGAAAATGAAGATGTAGTGAAGGATCTAAGGCAGATGCAAGGAAGAACTTCCCAGCGGCTGTGCGGGGCTGTGGGCAGATGACAGGGAGACTGTAGCATGGGGAGCCGTGCAGGTTACAGTCTTGTGGGGACGGGAGAAGGAGGAAGTCGACCCTTCTACCCAAGGATGGGGCAAGAGCTGGACTCTGCCTGTCTTTCTCTCCTGTCCTGCCCCTCCCCCCCAGCCCCACCCAGAGAGTGGAGGTCCTTTCTGGGTTGAGAAACCCTGGCATGGCTCTAGGGCAGCACTGTTTACTAGAAAAATCATGCAAGCCACAGATGTAATTTTAAATTTTCTAGTAGCTATATTAAAAAGCAAAACATGCAATTAATTTTAATAATATATTTGTTTAACCAATATATTCAGAATATTATTTTCACATGCAGTCAGTTCTAAATTATTAATGAAGTATTTGATATCTTTCCACACTAATTCTTCAAAACCTGGTATCTATTTTACACTGATAGCACATCTCAAGCTGTACTAGCCACATTTTAAGCTCAGTAGCCACATATGGCTAGTGGCTACTGTACTGGACAGTACAAGTGTAGTGTTTCTCCTCTGGGTGGCAGCGACAGGCTGGGGTGGGAGAAGGACCGGTGATGTGTGGTCCTGGTGACCAGATGCTAATAGGGACCAGGCTTTCTGCAAGCCTCCTATCCTGAAAGTGTCCTTGGACTGGGGAGAGGGATGCTGGGGGGATGGCAAAGGAGCAGCAGTTGTGGGGGCAGAAGTATGAGGCATGGGGACGCAGAGCTGGGTGTAAAGGGTGAAGAGGGGCAGTGGCCGCAGAGAGGCCTGGAGGCTGTGAGGCGGGAGCAGCTCTGAACAGCCCTCTCCACTCCTGTTCACAGAGACTTCAACAACAACGGGACCTCCCAGTGGTGAGTTGAAGCTCTTTGTCTGAATTCTCTGATATGACCACTGCCTACTAGAGGCCGCCAGCACAGGCCACCAGCCCAGCAGAGCAAACAGCGGTGCACAGGTGGGAGGGGGCCTTGGTGGCAAGGTGGGTGATGAAGGAGGAGGCCCTCCCCTCTCTAAGTGCCAATGGGGCCTCCCTGGATAGGTATCGTTCTTTTACCATCTCCATCACCCCAAGATGATTTACAGACTCGGAATCAAGATTATCAGGACTCAGAGGCCATTCCACAGGCCTCCAGCTCTCCCTGGGGGCATATGTGAGACCCCAGGCAAAGGAGAACATGTGCCCCAGAGGGGAGGAGCAGAGGCCAGGCCTGCAGGGTTGGTTGGTTAGGTCTTGCCTCCGGGCCACTGCTGCACAGGGAGTATGCAGCCTTCAAGGTTTGGGCTCTTTGCTGGGACAGGAGAAGGGTTTGGGACAGCTGTTTTTTATTAGGAGTATTAGTAATGTCAACAGAAATATAATCAGACAATAATTGCTACCAGTTTTGGAGTTCCTACTGTTTCTTAGATACTATACAGGAGTTTGCATACAGTATCTGTAATTCTCGCCACAATCTTGAAATGTGGGTATTGTTATCCCATTCTACAGATTAGGAAACTAAGATTCAGAGAGGTTAAGAGATTTGCCCAAGGTTGACCAGAGACAGTCAGTATGGCCTGCCTGCCTCCCTTGTTACAACCCCTGTCTTGTCAACTGAGAGAGACCTGGGATGTATACATTGCCTTGTATGATGGCCCGGTTCATCCCCTGCTGTAACCAGAGGGAAGCTCCCCAGTGATGGGGGGTAGTGAGCCTCAGGGGAGGAGTAACATTTGCTGAGCTGCAGGGCAAGCAGGGGCTGCGACAGGGCTGTCCACCAGGAAGACGGCACACCTCAGGCAAAGTTAGAGTAGGAGGAGGGAGCTGGAGTGGGAAGAAGACAAACAGGCCTGAGTGGCCCTCGGAGCCTGGCATGAAGCGTGGGGCCTCTGCCTCCTGCCTGCAGCCCTGAGCACCCGACCAAGGTGGCGCTGAAGGTGGTGACGCCCATCATCATCTCCGTCTTCGTTCTGGCCCTGTACCTGCACGCCCAGCAGGTGGAGTCCACCGCCCGCCTCGACTTCCTCTGGAAACTTCAGGTGGGTGGCCAGGGTCTGGGGCAGGGGACGGGAGGAGGTACCCAGACTTCTGGGCACTTTCTGGGCTGGGCTGGGCCTGGGTTCTGCACTGATGAGGTGTCCTGCTCAGGCCTCGCCCCAATTGCCTGGTACTTTGTGTCCCGGTGAGTCTGCCTCCTGCTCTCTGGGGCCAAGAGGCAAAACCACAGAGCTCCAAGCAAACCCACCTGCAACAGTGTCCAGTGCTGGGACCCTGATGGACAGGCAGGAGGAGAGGAGGGGAGCAGGGGGTGTGCGGTTCTGGGGCCTCAGAGGCCTGAGTGCGGGAGCTGGCACCAGAGGCATCTGAGCAGGGCTCGATGTGACCAGAACTGGACTTGAAGCCTCCTCCGGGGGAAGACAGCTGGAAGGGGCATCAAAGATCATTGACAGGATGTCCAGCCAGGTGGCTATGCCCTGGCCCTGATGAGCAGTGGCCCAGGCAGGGGCAAAGGTGCTGGGTGCTGGGTGCCCTGGTGGAGCTGAAATCCAGCCAGCACTCTGCTGTCCAGGCTCTGTGCCCTGCATGCTGACTGTGTCCACCTGGAGGAGGGGGTGATGTGGGCCATGCACAGCATGCTCCAGGTGCTAGCAGCAGCCCCTGTGTGGCCCCTTACTACCTGCTGGACCACCTCAAAAGGTGCAGGAGAGGGTGCCTAGGACCTTTGAAAAAGCCTGGCTTTAGGTAGGAGTAGGGGTGGGGCTCAGACCTGTTGCTCCCACTCAGCTGCTTGTAAGGCATAGCTTAGCCTGGCCTCTTTGCCTCCTTTGGCCTGACCCCTGTGTGTAGACCACTTCTCCAGCTCATCTGTAGCTTGCTTAGGTTTCCTCCATCCTCAGCTTCCTAGTAATGTCGAGACTGAAGTCTTTGGGCCAGGGCAGGAAGCCTTGATTTTCACTGGCTGCTGAGTGAAAGTGGAGGCATCTAGCTGCACCTGCTATTGGGAGTTTTGTGTGAGGGCTTGCTGAGGTCCCCACTGAGGTCTCCCATGAGAATGCCCTGAGGCTGGGGAAGCATGTTTTCCTGCAGAACGCCCCCCTAGGCCCTAGGTCGGGAGGGGCCTCAGGGGTACCCACTGTAAGGCTGCATCTTCTCTTCTCAGGGAGTGGCCTCCCAGCCTCCTCCCCACTGGTTCGCGCCCCTCTTCTTGGGGAAGCTCCCAGGAGGCCCCCAGCTCTTCCCTGGGGGCTGACCAGACTCTGTGGAGCCTGAAGTCAATTTCCCTCCATTCCTCTGCTCGCCCCCTCCCACCTCCCCCATGAGCCCTCCAGAAGCCCCTCCCAAGGTAGTTGCTGCTGTGTGACTCAGTTGTATTGCAAAGACCCTGAGAAAGGGGTGGAAGCCAGGGACGGGGAGCCTGCCACTCCGCTTCTTATGACTGACTACCCCTTCACCCCCCACCCGCGGACCCTGTCCAGCTTGTGAAAGTACAGGTTCAAACAGAGGCTCCCACCAGGTTTCATCTGCTTTTATGGCATTAAGTTGTAAAAAAATTATTTTAAACTTACAGAAAAGTTAAAAGAACAGTGTAAAGAACTCCACAAGTCCCTTCATCAGATTCCCCAACCATTTTTCTGCATTTGCTCCATCACCCTCTCTTTTCTGACAGCCCCTCAGTTCCCCACTGTCTACCTCCCCAACCAAAGCAAAGACACTCTCTGCATTATTCCCATGCAAACCCCCAGACAGAAAATCAACACTGTCCACCCATAATACATCCACTCACAGAACCATTCTGTTTTGGTCAACTGTCCCAGTTCTGGCCCAGGACTCCATCCAAGGTACCCTGTGCATTTAGTCATTATGTTTCCTGTCTTTGTCTCTCAGTTTGTCAGTCTTAAAGAGGTCCTTGTTCTGTGACCCTCAGTCCGGGGCCCTTGATGTTTCCTGTGTCCAGACTTGGGCCCCGCCTTCTGGGAGGAAAACCGTGGAAGTGACACTCATGAGGCACTTCTCAGAGCATCACCTTGAGGATTCCTCTGTGTTGGCCTGTCCCACCCCTGGCGATGTAAACTTTGATCACCCTCTCAAGTGGGCATCTGCCAGATTTCTCCACCATCAGGTCCCCGTCTTCCCTTTTGTAGAAAGATGCTCTGGCCTTACACCAATATTCTGATTCTCAGCAAACCTCACACAGCAGTCTCAGCAATCCATCACTGACTCTTGCCTGCTGGGTTGTGATGACCTATGTCTGTCATTCCTTCTGCATTTGCTTTTTTTAAAAATTAATTAATTTATTTGGCTGCATTGGGTCTTAGCTGTGTCACGCAGGATCTTTCGTTGTAGTTGTGGTGTATGGACTTAGTTGCTCCACAGCATGTGGGATCTTACTTAGTTCCAGGAGTTGAACCCGTGTCCCCTGCCATTGCAAGGTGGATTCTTAACCACTGGACCACCAGGGAAGTCCCCCTTCTACATTTGTTAATCGACATTCTGCTTTAAGGCAGAGCTTTCCTTGTGTCTGTTAGTTGCTCAGTCATGTCCAACTCTTTGCAACCCCATGGACTGTAGCCCACCAGGCTTCTCTGTCCATGGAATTTTCCAGGCAAGAATACTGGAGTGGGTTGCCATTTCCTTCTCCAGGGGATTTTCCTGATCCAGGGATCCAACCCAGGTGTCCTGTGTTGCAAGGGGACTCTTTACCATCTGAGCCACCAGGGAAGCCCAGAGCTTTCCTTATCTTCCTCTTATTTACTTCATTCATTTATCTACATCAGCCTACACTCATAGATTCCTATCAGATTTGGTGGGGCTTATACTCTGCTCCTCTCATTATTTATTTTAATGTTTCATGTGTCCTGGCTTTGGTCAGTGTGTCTTCAGGTTGGTCTCCATGTTCTTTGACACGTCTCCATCATTCTTTGAGCATTTTTTTTAATTTCTGGCACAAGATGATGTCTGGGGCTCATCATGTACTTTCCCTTCAAAGCGCCCCAATTGTTCTTCATGGAGAATGGTGTTTAGAAACCCAGATCAGGGCACCCAGTGTGCACACTGTTCTAGGTTCCCTCTGTGGACAAAGCTAGGAAATGTATGTAAGTATATAGGAAATACACACATATACACATACATATGAATGGATACTACTGCAGTAACTGTCAGTTGATATTTAAAACCATGAGTTGGTAGCAGTACCCCCATTCCCAATGCAATACCTCAGGCTTCTTTCTAGCCTTCCTCCTTCCATGCATGCAAATATTATCACTGGCAGTGAGAACTTCCCCTTCTATTTCTTTCACATATTTACTCATTTGTTCAATGGAACTGACCTCCCCATCACCCCAGCCCCCTTCTCTGCCCCACCATGCCCTCCTCACCTCACGGCCCTGCTTCCTTGCTGGATACACCACATGTGGCACTCCTTCCTCTGATCACGTCCTTCCTCTGATCACGTCCTTCCTCTGATTACATCTTTCCTCAAGCACAAGTACTCTGTACAAGGTTGGGAAGGAAGGGAAAATTGAAAAGGAAGTGGCTAACCACTCCCATTTTGAAAACATGCACATGTATGTGAGTGTGGGGGTGAGTGTGTCTCTACCTGCCAGGTGTGTCAGCCTGTCTCTACTGAAGCATCTCATGATGCTCCCACATCCTTCCATCTCCCATCGTCCTCCAGGGCTTTGGGGAGGGGTAAATAATAACCTGAACATGGGTTATTCAGGATGGGATGGGTTGGGTTCTTGGGATGGATGAGTGATGGTCTGTTGTCCCACCCCCAGTCTCGCCTAGCAGCCTATTTAGCTGTTGGATCTATGGTCATGGTGGGGGTGTAGTGCTGACAGGGAGGTGGGGAGCCTGGGGTCCCTAGCTTCCCTGAAGCACCTGCAAAAAACACACACCTGCATGGCCCCCTCCACTGGGCGTTGGTTCTCAGGAAAGCCCATTCTTGTCTCCTCCCATAGCCTTGACCTTATTAGGACCAGCAAGCACCTGTGAACCCCTGAGCCATCCTGCCTGAGCAGAGCCCAGCCCTAGAAGCAGCTGGCTGTGCTGACAACTGCCCACATGTCTTGGGCAGAGTTCCCAGAGGTGGCAGGTACACCTGACCAGCGCCTCTGTGTTTGGCTTCTGTTCCCAGCAGCAGCTGTGCTCCCAGCGTCCCCACCCCCAGCCTCCACTGCCTGACACTCTGGGCAGATGCTCTCTGGGAAAGCATTCCTGCCACCTGTGGGTTGATCAGAGGAGCTGAGGTGCTCCTGGGTCCCCAGGCGTGTGGTCTGTGTAGGTGGTAGGGGCAGGAGTAGGGGCAGCCTGGTGCATCTTCAAAGCAGCTGGGGCCCCTCTGTGGGGACAGCAGGGAGGAGAGGGACTCCCACACCAGCCTTCTCCCTCTGGCACACCTATTCCAGAGCAGGAGCAGGGGGCCCTTATTTATGGGAGTTGTTTAGTCGCAAGGTCGTGTCTGTTTTTGTGACCCCATAGACTGTAGCCCACTAGGTTCCTCTGTCCATGGGATTTTTCAGGCCAGAATACTGGAGTGGGTTGCCATTCCCTTCTCCAGGTGATCTTCCTGACCCAGGGATAGAACCTGCATCTCCTGTATTGCAGGATTCTTTACCGCTGAGCCACCAGGGAAGCCCAATTTAGGGGAGGGGGGTGGTCAAAGTGTCCCACCCCACAGGAGTCACCTGGCAGGAAGACAGCACATGCCTGCTGGACCCCCCTGGCATCTGAGGGTCCAGGAACTTCCTTGGGTGTGACCCACCCATCCCAAGAATAAGGTGGGTCCTCTCACCTCATCCCTCAGCTTTCTCCTTTCCCCCTGAAGCCAGACCTGCAGCCTTGATGGGTGTAGCAGCTCCTTCTTCATGAGCAGCCACTGCCCACCTGGAGACCTGGGGCCCTGAGAAATAGTCCTGGCCATTTTGGAGGTTCTAGCTGCAGTAAATAGAAAGGCCTCCATGTTTAGTTAAGGAAGGCCCAAGAAAGCTGGCTAGATCTTTTAAACTGCTAGTGATGCTTGGCCTGCTTGTCTGCCTGCCTTACCTACACTGTTGGTTGCCCCCATTCAAGGGACCATTCTGTTAGCCATTGAGGGGAGGAAGCAAGAAGACTCCCCCTTCTGGACCCTGTGCCCCTTGAACACTCTGGTCAGCTGGCTCCTTGCACACCGACGTGCAGGAGTACCTCCGTGCTTCAGCTTGTGGGCCACTGTTGGCCTCCTGACTGAGGGTTTTGCACTGTCCCTCTATCCTGGATGGTGAGTTCATCCCAGGCCCAGGACCCAAGCTTGGGGACATCAGTGATGTCCCTGTCCTGCCCAGGTGGCACCTCGGGGCACCTGCACCCTCTGGTCCTGGGGTGGGTCAGCTCTCGGGGAACCAGGGAGACCAAGCAGGGCTCTGAGCAGATTTCCCTGCATTCAGTCTGCTAAAGTGGTTTTTATAAAATTGCTTTTCTGTGTGTGTTTCCTCATACGAAGAGGAAAATGGACAATCAAGGAGCACTTGGGTGGCTAGAGGGCCGTGTGGGTTTGGGTTTGAACCATCCTTTTATCCTCCTGCCTCCTTTTCATCTGGGGCAGACAGGATCCATCCAGCTTCTCCTCTGGGACCTGTTTTCACTCAGGGTCCTTCCTTCAGGATCAACACTCTCATAGGTGTCGCTTTCCAAGAGGCAGGCAGGTGCTCGCTTCGGCAGCACATATACCAAGAGGCAGGTGGGAAGAGTTAGCCACTTACAGAGCTCTCTTTTCTGATGGTCAAAGTAATAGATACTCTTGATAGAAAACCTGGAAGTAGAGACAGCAGTGAGGATGCAAAGCTGGCACTTGGTGAAATCTTGGACCCATGTAGGCATGTAGGAGGGCTGCACTGCCTTTTTCTAAGCAGCCTGCTGCTTGCCCTCCCTCTGACCGGGCCCTCTGTCCCAGGCCACAGAGGAGAAGGAGGAGATGGAGGAGCTGCAGGCCTACAACCGGCGGCTGCTGCACAACATTCTACCCAAGGACGTGGCAGCACACTTCCTGGCCCGCGAACGGCGCAACGACGAGCTCTACTATCAGTCGTGCGAGTGCGTGGCCGTCATGTTCGCCTCCATCGCCAACTTCTCCGAGTTCTACGTGGAACTGGAGGCCAACAACGAGGGCGTCGAGTGCCTGCGGCTGCTCAACGAGATCATCGCAGACTTTGACGAGGTGCAGCTGGGCCCCGCCACCCCCCCTTTCCCATCACCAGTGTGAGCGGAGACGTCAGGAGCCCTGACTGTGTCCCAGGCACCGCCACAGGCACCTGCGTGTATCTCTTCCCCATCACCATGTCACAGTGGGGAGGCCCAGACTCACAGACATTAGCGTCTCGCCTTGGGTCACTGCCTGTAAGCGGCAGAGCTGGGTTTCAGCCTCAGCTGCCCCATCAAGGCCCCACCTGGCTGACTCGCCAACCACCCCCATCGCCTGCCATTCCTCTTGTGCTATCTCGGGCTGGACAGGGCCTCGGGCTGGACTCAGTGTTTGAGAGAGTCCAAGGGAGGAGGGATTCCCAGGCTAGAGGAGGAGGTGGGACCAAGTTGCAAAGCCTTGAACAGCAGAAGCAGAAGCAAAGACATTTTCTTTGTTGAGTGCCTAGTGTGTGCCAGACCCTGAGGAGTACTGTGCCCAGTAGAGCAGTCTCGGTGCTGGGAGCTCACCACGTAGGGAGTGTGAGCAGGACAAACCCAGCAGGAATACAGGGGCCGGGGCGTGGAGCACAAACGCTAGTGAGATGGCAGAGCTGGGACCAGGCAGCGTAAGAAGCAGCCCCCAAGACTCCCGGGCACTGTGGTTACTGGAGTTGGCTGAAATGGATATGGACAGGCTTCCAGCAGATCCTGGAGATAGGAGAAGAGTGGCCTGCTGGAAAACAATGAGGAGGTTTCCCTGGGAGGGCTGGGGCCCTTAGCCAGCAAAGGGAAGGGCAGCTGCCAATCCATATTATGGGAAAGAGCCCCAGAGGTGACTCGTGACCTGGCCCCAGGGCCTCTTGTATGTGGCTGGGCTCATAGCCCACAGCCCGCGGGTGACTGCCAGAGGAGGCCTGACTGTTGGGGAGCAGCGAGGCTTTACACTGAGTTGGTGACAGAGATAGGCCCCTCTGTGTGAACAAGGGAGCCACGAGGGGCTGTGCTGCTACACTCCCCTGCAGACCTCAGTACCCAACTTTTGGGTGACCGAGGTTTGGCCTCCTTCTTCCCAGATCATTAGTGAGGACCGGTTCAGGCAGCTGGAAAAGATCAAGACCATTGGCAGCACCTACATGGCCGCCTCGGGACTCAATGACTCCACCTACGACAAGGTGGGCAAGACCCACATCAAAGCCCTGGCCGACTTTGCCATGAAGTTGATGGACCAAATGAAGTACATCAACGAACACTCTTTCAACAACTTCCAGATGAAGATCGGTGAGCCTGGCTCAGAGTGCTGAGGGCTTGTAGGGGCTCCCCAACCCCCCTCCCATCCTGCTTCCATGAGCCAGTCCGAGGAGGCTGATGTTATAGTATGTCCTTCCCCAAGGGGTGGGGGATGGTACCCACCACACAGCAGAGTTCTTCTGGGGCCTAGAGGTGCCTCTTCTGCATGGTGGTGAGCATGGGATACCATTTTTCTCAGTTCCTGCCTTTTCTACTCACTATGCCCCCCAGAGAGGCTCTGTAGGGGATGCTGTGTGCCAAGGGCACACACAGGGCACCCCATGGGAGAGGCTGGAACTCAGAAAGAGGTTATTGCTGAGTTCTAAGTGGTTTCTGTGTGTGTGTGAGCAAGATCTAGGTGCTGTGAAGGTTCTTCTAATCTACACAAACTGGGGAAAGAAATGGTGAGGATGTGGAGATAAGTTGAGTCCACGTATCTTCCTTGGATTCCTTCTTTGTCAAATGCTTTGGCCCTTGTTGGGTGGCTTTGAGGAGCTTCGTAGATGCTGTGGTATCTGGGGGGCAGGGCTGCTGCAGGAGAGAGGGGGAAGTTCTGAGCAGAAGCCCTGGGCCAGTTTCAAAACAGGCAGAGCTATATTTTACTTGTTTAGAAAACCTTTGAACCAAAACCCTATATAATTTTTTTCAATTTTTGTATTTATTATTTTATTTCTTAATTGAAGTATAGTTGATTTACAATATAATATTAGTTGTGGGTATACAGCATAGTGATTATACTCCAAGTAAAGTTATAAAATATTGGCTATATTTCCTGTGCTATACATCTTCTTTGTATTCCTTTTGTTGTTTATTACCCGTCTTCTAGTCTTCTATTCTACAGAAGAGCTGCAAGAATAGTGCAGGGAAAACCCATGTACATCAGCACACTTGCCTATTTGCTCCGCCACTGCATCCACTAAATGATCTGAGAAACACAACTCTGTGTTGCTTGATAAGGTTCAAGGTGTCTCAGTGGCTCGTTTTGTCCTTATCTTTTCAAGGATACCCAGGCTTTCAGAATAAGAGTTACTTTTTCAAAAGAAACAGCTTTGTTGAGCACTGCTCTCTGCCTCTTGAGGATGGTGGAGATAAAGAATGCTTTCCGAAAGAGCAGTCCTTTGTCAAAATTTTAATGTATTATCAGCTCCCTCCCAGAAATGTCTCAGGCCAAAAATGATTCAGATTTCAAATTTTTAAAAAAGGAACAGTGATTCACCAGCAAAGATACTGGTATTTCAGTTCTCAAAATTAGCACATTAAACTTAAATAAGGATTCTTAAAAGTCAATATTGTGATCATGAAGGTCCTCAGGAGATCTTTTGTTCTGGCCTGAGTGCTGGGAACTGTCTTTCCCTGAGGAGCTGGCCGTGCGGGCTGGTGGGTACATGCCTGCAGACTGGGCCAGGTTTTCATTTTGCATCAGGTGCTCTAAAGCCAGACCAGAGCCAGCTGGGGGGTGGCTTTAACTGATGAGCCATCTGTGCTTCTGTGTAAACATCACCTCTGGTTTCCCATGATGTTGCCATCCTTGTTTTTCTTCCACTCCACCTCCCCACCTCCACTGATCTGCACTTCTCTCCTGGCATGTATGTTTCTGTGAGCTGCCCCAGGTCCTGCGCTGGACCAGGACTGGGGACTGAGTGGCAGGCAGACAAGGAGCTGGGCAGGCAGCTGGGAGCCTCATGTGGTAGATCCTGCCCTATAGACGCAGGGATGTCTTCCCTGGGGAGCATGGCTGTCACCAGTGAGGGTGACGGCCCAGCCTGGGAATAGCACATGGGGTAAAAAGCTACCTGTGGCTTGATGGACCCAAAGAGGAGGTTGGTGGAGGGAAGGGTTTGAGGACTGATGACATCTCTGATTTAGTGAGTGGTCGAGGAGGGTGTGTGAGAGCTTCTGCTGTATTTGTGGTCGCACGCTAAGAAATAGTTAAGCCACAATTAGGCTTAATGAGGCCCATCATGAGAGACAGTTTATGTAATAGGAGGCAGTGCCCTGGGCCTTGGAGATGGGGCAGGAAATATCCAGAGAATGCTGGTTGAGGCAGATGTGTCTGGGAAGGACTTTGCTGGGAGAGGAGAAAGGGCATTTGAGGTAGAGACCAGCACAGCAGAGGCTCGGGGCAGGGCTGCTCAGTGCTGTCTTGGGCAGGACTAGGAAGGCAGACAGACTGGAGCAGAAGTGGAGGAGAAAGACGGAGAGGGAGAGTTCACATGGATGCAGCAGATTACTTCCCGGCATCAGTCACTGCAGCATCACTGCCCTGGTGCAGAAACCTGGGGGTGAATTACTTGGAGAGAGGAGACACTGGACAGGGAAGTGAGTTAGGAGGCAGGTTCTGAGAACAAGAGTGATGGCACCCCTGGAACAGAGGAGCGAGGTTAGTCTGGTATGCTGAGTCTGAATTAAAAGTGGAAACTTAAATGCCACCCGGAGAGGGGTGATTAAAGAAAGGCAACCGGAAAATGCAAAAGGTCACTGGATGCTTAAAGAGGGCAGTCTAGCGGTGGATTTGCAGGAGCTGAGTGCTGCCTGGGTGACAAGGACACAGGAGTAGCGACTATGTGATTGGGTTCCTGTGGTCTCAAGTCAGGAAGTGTGCAATAGGATCAGAGCAGTGGCAGGTGTTCAGGGTAGGTACAGCCTCAAGCCAGAAGGACCCTGGGTATCTTCAGGCCAAGAGTCAGGGAGAGAATCTGCCAAGAATAGGGGGAGGAATAATATCGAGGGCAGGCAGGAAAGAGTTGGTCTGAACCCTGATGAGAATTCTGACTTCTGTCCCCTGCAGGGCTCAATATTGGCCCCGTGGTGGCAGGCGTGATCGGAGCCCGCAAGCCTCAGTATGACATCTGGGGCAATACGGTGAACGTGGCCAGCCGCATGGACAGCACCGGTGTGCCCGACCGCATCCAGGTAAGTGCAGGGGCGTCCACCTCCATGTCCACTGGGGGACCTCTGTGTGCTGCTAAGCGGTCTTCCAGCAGGCTGCTCACAGTTCCTACTCAGAATTTCTGCAGCCACATTTGAGGGAGATGGGGTGGTTGGTGGTGATGCAGTGGAAACTTGGAGAACACAATTGTGTCTCAGGCCGTCAGTACCTTGGACAGATCTTCTAGCCTGCGCAAAGCCCTCTACTGGCCACAGGAGGAATTGTTGGGAATGGCACAGCCAGCTGCCCATGCCAAGCCAGGAGTGCTAATGCCACACTCCAGGCACACAGAGCAGACACAAGGCAGGCACTTTAGGGAGAAGGATTTGCTAAATGGAGCCCAGAGCACTCAGGGCCTGGTTCTGAAAACGAGACAAGGCCACTGGTCCCTGGATGGTGCCCCAACCAGTCTTAACAGCCAAGGAGCCTGGCCAGAGACCTGGAGACTTTCTCGTCTCTTCATCCTGTGCAGGCTGGTTGGTGCTCTTCAGCTGCTTTTCTTTGTTTTTCTCAGGCCTTGCTTGATCTGACACAGAGAGGCCCTGAACCGTGGAACCTTGGGTAGCCTTCCTGGTCTCGGTTTTCCCAAGTGCAAACTGGGCCATTTTAAAGGTCCTAGTTCACACTGACACTGCTTAACCATCCACTAACTTCACTCCCTTGTGGGGCCTCTGAACAAAGGGACTGACCCCAGCACAGCCCTGGCTGGCCTGTGAGTGTTGCCTGAGGGGCCTGGCCAGATGGCCTCCTCTCACCTCCATCCTGGGAGGGGGGGGTGTGGCAGGGGGAAGAGAGTGGGACAGAAAGGTGAGAGTGGGGGTCCTGAGGAGAGATGGAGAGAGAGGAGGAGTGTTTACAGAGCTTCAACCCCACCCCACCCCCACCCCCCCCCCCAACACACACATACGCAGATGTGAGGGACTCAGTCAGTAACCGACATCAGGGCACCTACCTTTACATAGCGCTTACCTTTCACAGAATGTGCTGCCCCTTCCTCCCTGACTGGACAGCAGGTGTGGATGCGGGCCCTGGCAGGGGCACTGGCCATACTCAGAAATGGCTCTTGGATTACCCTGTGGTGAAGCTTTAGTCTTACTGCTCCTCCTGTCACCTCTGCTTGGCCATTTGCCCTGCAGTAGTGTCCTGTCGCTACTGACACTGCCTGTGAGTCCTCCTCTTTGTTCCAAAAGCCAAAGCAGAGGTGGGCAGCACAATCTGAAGTGAATCTGGGCTCTAGCATTTACCAGTTGTGTGACTTCAGGCAAGTGGCATAGGTTTTCCAAGCCTGAGATCATAGTTCTCACCTCATAGGAAGATGAAATGAAATCAGCAGTGGTTCTCAAACTGTCTGTGGTGGAAAACCATTTTCTAGAACCTTCTGAAAGTTCTGGAGTGAGGCTTTAGTAAAACACTTGGGCACGGATTGTGGAGAGTGGGAGGGCTGTGAGCTCCTGAGAGCTCCCCTCGGCTTCTGCAGTTCTCTCTTTGTGGAGGAAGGATAGGCAGTGCGTGGCCACAGGCGCATTGAGGGGCTGGCCACCCTACCTGGCCGCGAGTGGGTGCTGCCTCCTTCTGGGTTCTGAGGCCCTTCCTTGGAGGAGCTGCCCCCGCAGTGGGGCTGCTACCCACCCTTCGGAGTCAGGGGCAGTCAGGTCATGGCTGGCCTGTCCTCTCTCCTCCTTTGCCTCTTAGGTCACCACAGACATGTACCAGGTGCTGGCCGCCAACACGTACCAGCTGGAGTGCCGGGGTGTGGTCAAGGTCAAGGGCAAAGGCGAGATGATGACCTACTTCCTCAACGGAGGGCCCCCGCCCAGTTAGCAGCCACCGCGGACGCCAGGCCGCCTGGCCTCCAGAGACATGGAGGAAGCCTCGCTCCAGCCCGCGAGGCCGCCCTGAGATTTCCCACTTTGACTCCAGAAGCAGCCTCTGCCTTTGCGGGCGGGAGGGCTGGCGGTCTCCGTCTAAGGCCCGGGGTGCCAGCGTCCTGCGAGCACCAAGCTGACCAAAGATGTCTCCCTTTGTTGAAGGCGCCGCCACATGCGGTCGGAACCTCGAGTTTTCTGACTGAAGGGAGCTGCCGCGCGCAGAGAGGAGCGGCAGGAGGGATCGGGCTCTGCAGGGCAGGCCGCCTAGGCGCAGGGCCGTGGAGCTCGGCCTCCGGCGGGCGGGAGGCAGCGCCACTCTGGCCCGGGCCTGGGGCTGCTTTTCTATGTGAGCCTTTACACTTCAGACCGAGGCAGCGGCTCTGCAGGCCTCGGCAGGAGTGCTGGCTTTTGGATGGACCGTGGCCTTCAACGCGGGCCCCTCCCACAATCCACAGCCGGTGCCCCTGGAGGGGGCAGAACTAACTGCGAGGGGGAGGCCAGAGGACTCGGAGCAAGGAGTGGTGGTTCTGAGAAAAAAAGAAAATATTTATTAAATAAAACAAAACACGTTTCTGTGCCCTTCTTTAGACTATGCTAGTTGTATGCGTGTAAGAGACCCACAAGCAAACCAGGATGCCACTGGGGAGGGAGGGCAGGGATCCCAACTTGTCTTTTTGTATTTTTTATTTTGTATTATTGAAAACCTTGGAGATCTAACAAATATACCAAATTCTATATTTTGTAAATTCTCTATATTAGAAAACAGCTGTGCACAGCAGGGCGTTCGTGCTCATTTGTACTGTATGTATGTTGATGTATGTACTGGAGTGTGTGTGCGTGTGTATGTATGTGTGTGTTTATGCTGTGGAACTGGTCTCATTCAGGACACCTGTTTCCCTCAACTCAGATTTTCCCAGGTCCAACCATAGCAGTGAGCGTGTCCTTTTGGGGTACCATATGTAGGAAGATGCATGCACACGTTACCCCGTCTTTCTCCCTGTCTCTCTCTCTCACACACACACACAAACGTGTCACCTCTCTTAAGTAAAATGCAAACAGAATATAAAGAAAACAAAAGCCTCTTTCCCATCTCAGGCCGAGCTGGAGTCAAGGGAAGCAGCTTCAACCCATGGCAGTCAGCCGGCCCTCCTTCCACCCTTCTGCTCTCAGAGATGTCAGCTTTTGCTTTGGGCAGAAAGGCAGCCCCTGCAACCCTGAGAGCTCAGCTGGTGTGGGGGTGTGGGGAAGGCTGGGCTGCCTGGCTTCCTATGCTGGCCAAGGTGCAGGCATCTCTCTCTGGAGCTGATCCCTCAGGCAAGGAAAGGATGGTGTCTTTGCTCTCCATCTACAAACCAGACAGAGGAAAGAGTGGAGGCCAATCCATGGGCCAAAGCCAGCAGAAACTTCGTTTTGTCTGATTTCATTTGGGGGGTGGGAGCAGTCAAATATACCAAGAAAAATTGCTATTTTTTATGTCCTATGAGGGAGGAATTTGGAAAATGATATACTGTCATACAGACCTTATTCAAACAGAATCCTTGGGTCCTGTGCCCAGATCTCTTCACTCTGTCTCAGGGCAGCATTATTCTCGCCTCCCATGTGAGCTTGAAGGAGGTGAGGAGGCAGCTATATGCCAGCTGCAAAACGTTACTTTGACACCCCCCTGCACCACCTCTCAGTGGACACTAGCCCCGCCCTCCCCTTTCTACACACCACCTCCCACCCCAATCAAACACAATTCTGAGAAGCAAAGCTTATGGGCCTAACACTGGCAGCCTTAGTCTATCTGTGCTTTTGCTGCTCCATCCTCTGAATTCTGCATCACCCCTCTTGCATCTGTCACAAGGGGCTGGCATTCTCCATGGTGTTGTATTCGAGTCCCTGACCTCTCCATACGGCCCACCAGTGGTGCTGGGTTTTCATTTGGCTCCCAACCTGAGTAATGTGTGTGCTGGTTTCTCCATTGTTTCCCCTGTTGGTCATGGCCTCCCTGGCCTTGTGGGGCCCTCCCACCCATCCCGGCAGTGACTGGTGACCACGTGCAGTGCTAGCTCTTCATTCCCTCCAAGGGGTGTGCACTCTTTTTATCCCTGCTCTTGCAAAAATGAATACAATTATGATTTCCCATGGAAATGGAAAAGTCTATTTAAATAATTTAACTATTAAACACTTTCACTGGTAATGTGTCTTGGTCTAATTTGATTCTTGGGTGGTGGGCCTGGTTCCAGTGGGAAGAACAGTGCTCTCACTGCAGGACAGGTCCTGCAGAGGGCACCTCAGAGGGCAGAGAGCGCCCCTGAGTGGGGACAGTGCACTGCTGAGGTGAGAATGTTGGCCAAAGACTGCAGTCGTTGTGGCAGCAGGTAGGAGAACACTGGTGACCTTGGACGTGCCAGGGTGCAGGAGGCCATGGGATGGAGAGATAAGCAGAGGGACCAAGGGAACAAGCAATGAAGGACGGAACCAGAAAGATTCAGGACCAAGGGGAGGATGTTTTAAAACAGGTGAGCCAAATGTGTTTCAATGCTAAGGCAATGAAAGTTGAAAATACAAGAGGGAACACAGATCATAGAAAGGACCCAAGTAGGTGGCAGTGGGGGAGATGTAGGCAGGAGGTGAACTGACCTGACTTGGATAGCTAGGAATATTTATCAGGCAATCTGTGTGCCAAAGCCTGGGAAAAGCACCCTACAAACATGGCTTCATTTAATCCTCCTGGCCACCACATTTCACTGAGGAAGGAACAGAGAGGTTGAATCATCTGCCTAAGTCCACACAGCTGGTAATTAACAACCAAGATTAAAGTGGGCCTGTCTAGTAAGCCCACACAGATGAGTAACTTCACATGTGTCCAGGACTCCTTTCCCGAGAGGAAGGGAAAGGTGGTAGGCGGGCTGTTGCTGCTGCTGCTGCTAAGTCACTTCAGTCGTGTCCGACTCTGCGCGACCCCATAGACGGCAGCCCACCATGCTCCCCCATCCCTGGGATTCTCCAGGCAAGAACACTGGAATGGGTTGCCATTTCCTTCTCCAATGCACGAAAGTGAAAAGTGAAAGTGAAGTCACTCAGTCGTGTCCGACTCTTAGTGACCCCATGGACTGAAGCCTGCCAGGCTCCTCCGTCCATGGGAGTTTCCAGGCAAAAGAGTACTGGAGTGGGGTTGCCATTGCCTTCTCCAGTAGGAGAGCACGGGACCCTTTTCAGCAATTCCCAGCTGCTGCTTCCATTAAATGCAGAGTTATATTTGGCTTTAGGAAATAAAACCAGAGGAGCTTGGTGAAATAAAATTGAATACAAGTGAGAATGAAGGAACTATTGAAAGACACTTCACTGGGGGTCATTGAAATAATGGCCACAGAGAGACACAGATATGGTACTCCTGGTTCTAGGTAGCCCTCCTGTTCCAAAGAGAATAGACATCATTAGGAATTCAAATATGTGTGGAAAAGAATGTAATTGCATAGAGCTAAAGTTTATTTATAATTAATTCATTCATTATTTTTGGCTGTGCTGGGTCTCCATTACTGCACAGGCTTTTCTCTAATTGTGGCAGGCAGGAGGTTACTCTGTAGTTGCAGAGTGCCAGCTTCTCACTTCGGTGGCTTCTCCTGTTGCAGAGCGTGGAAGATCCCGCCTATCTTGGAGCAACTAAACCTGTGCCTCACGACTATTAAGCCTGTGCTCTAAAACCTGGGAGATGCAAATACTGAAGCCTGAGCATTCTAAAGCCCATGCTCTGCAACATGAAGCTAAATTTTAACTTAGAGATCTTTCAGGATTTGTTAGGAGAACAACCATGGGAAATCATCAGTCAAATCCATTTCATCTGTAACCTGCCTTCACTAATCATTTTAACTTGCTACAAAAGACTTGCGTGTCCTACAATCTGCATGTAGCCTAAACAATGAGATATTGGTCCAAGTTGTTTTCCAGAAACTTAAGAGTTAGCTATGTCCTGTTTGAGATGGGCCAGCCAGTTCAGACTGTTAACCACAGATGCCTCAACTAGGCAGGCACAAGTGACCTTTTGAACAGGCAGAGGCCTGTAGCTTAGTTACGCTTGTGCAGAATGAGGATTTTTGCACCTTTTCCCAGTCACCTTTCCCCAGTCACCTTTCCCCACATTCCCTCATCCTCCAATTGCCCTGTTTCTTTATTGGTTACCCTATATCAGTACCCCATGTCTCTTGCACTGGGGAGGTGGATTTGAGATGCCTTCTCCTGTCTCCTTGCTTGGCTGCATTGCAAATAAATCCTCAGTTTGCTGCAAACCTAGGCGTCTCAGTATTTTGGCTTGCTATTCTTCAGGGAGGGTGAACCTGATCTGGTAACAGGTTTGATGAGCCTGCCAGAAGAGAAGTCCAGAGGGAGTTCTGCCCGTTGTTTGTCAGCCCCTTGCCTGTATTGAGAGCCTGTGAGCAAGTTCAAGCAGCTTCCTGGGCCATTTGTTCCTAGGGCTACCCACCCCGATTTCCTCAGGGAGGGGCCACTGACCTCTAGCATTTAGTTTCATTTTGTAGCAAAGAAGTGGCTTTGGGGTTTGGAAGCTGTCTTTGGGTGAGAAACCTTGTTAAAGAAGTATACCTGTGTAAGACTGACCATATAGATCATGGGTTGAAGGCCCACCTGGTGGGATTGTGGCAGACAATGGGTTAAAGGCTTGGGGACTCCTGGTTTTGTCTCGTTTTATTTTGGTTTTGTCTTGGTTTTGGCTTGGTCTTGTTTGTCCACATCTATGTCAGGTTGTCACTTATTAAGAACTGGCTATTGGGGACTAAGCTTCTTAGTGACCACAGTAAGCAGTGGTTGAAAGACTTGGTTGCTGTGACCACCTGGAAGTAAAGCGCTTTCAAAATCAAAAACGTTAATTCAATTCCCTCTTCAAGCCTTCTAGCCTGCATTCTCCAAAACTAGGGAGCTTTCAGTTATGAATCCATGGAGAAGAAGATGGTAGTTTTTGATAGCACAGCTTGGCTTTAGGCTCAAGAACAAAATGGCCTAAAAATGGATCTTTAAATCATAATACAATTTTGCAGATAGATTTATTTATTAAGTAGGAAGAAAAGTGTGATGAAAATCTAATGTAATTTTTTATGTCATTGTATCGGAGTAAACCTGTGCAAAGAAAATAAGACTACAGTTCAATAGGAAGGGAAGGCAAAGAAAGCCATTCTGCCTGATCCTAATGAAAAAGAGGACTTGCTGTTAATTCAGTAGAACACTCTGCTTGTTCCTCCTCCACCCCCATGTGATGGGGCTGCTACTCCTTCCCTGCCAGTGCCCAAGCCACAGCCTCTGGACCACGGTTGCCCCTGTCTCAGAGAATCAAGAAATAGGAATGGTCTCCCCTCTCATATCCACCAGAAAGTGAAAGTTAGTGGCTCAGTCGTGTCGAACTCTTTGCGACCCCGTGGACTATAGCCTGCCAGGCACCTCTGTTCACAGAATTCTCCAGGCAAGAATACTGGAATGGGTTGCCATTTCCTTCTCCAGGGATTGGACACAGGTATCCTGCATTGCAGGCAAATTCTTTACCATTTGAGCCACCAGGGAAGTCCAATCATATCCACCAGAGAGCCACCCAAACTCAGGTAGGGCAATCCTACCATTAAGGCAAATCCACAATGAGGGTGTAAATGCTGAGACTGGGCAGTTGATGGCATTGATTTCGTTCCACTCTTTCGTCAACTTCAGGTTTAATTAATCAGAAGAACAATATGCCAGAACTTCCTGGGAGTCCAGTGGTTAAGACTCTGCGCTTCCACTGCAGGGGGCACCAGTTCCATCCCTAGTCAGGGAACAACAATGCTGCATGCCACACAGCACAGTCAAAAACACACACACACACACACAACTCGCCAATTTACAGAGATGACCCACAGAAAATGAAAAGTGTCTTTTCAATTTCTGCAACCCACAACCCAATCTGGGCAGATGTTGAAAGTTTATTAAATACCACCCACAGTTCAGCAGAACATAGGATGGTGCTGAATAAAGCTAGGGAGGAGGCAGATGGGATTCATACAGAAACCCCTGGTAATTCAGTATGTGCTGCTGCAAGCATAGCTACACCAAGAGTGGATCCTAATTGGGGCTTGAATTCTGAACATTATCAAGATTGCATTCTTGCAGGACCCAGGGTCAAAACAAAGAAGCCTTAATAGAGTCAGGAAGGTAAAACAGAAACTGAGTAAGAATCTTCAGAATCTCTAGAAAGAGTATTTAAAGCCTATAGGCAACGTGCAGATACAGATGCTAAGACCCCAGAGAATTTAAAAAAATGGTTAATGGCTTTTATTGGTGAGAGCAACCTCAATATACAGAGAAACTGGAAAAGGTGGAAAGGGCTTTAGGAATACCTGTGTCTCAACGTGCTGGAATTGCCTTCAAAGGTTTTAATGGCAGGAACCATGTTCAA